AACTCTGGTGACCAAATAATAAAATGAGACAATATTATCCTTTAGTTGATTCACGTATTCATTTGCCTTTATGAGTACTTACCTGTACTTCACTTACAATAAGGTATTACTTGAATCTGTTAGAATAAGTTAAGACCCTAATCTTCTTGAGGTGACTGAATAAAGTGTCAAATTGATTGAATTGTGTCCTAGGGCTTTATTACTAAATAAAGTGTCAAATTGATTGAATTGTGTCTTCAAAATACACAAAGCAAAAATTTACAAATAATAATAAGAAACACCTACCCGGACGAGACCCTGAGTTGCCACTCATGAACGGCTCCTCTGCTCCTGAACGGCCATGATCCCTGAGGCACACAAACCAATCTTGGAACCCAGGAGCTTCTGGCAGAAATCTCTTTGGATTTAATTACTAAAATACCTAAAATATCAGAAATTCAAAATTGCACGGCAACATGTGACATCAAATGTTCTTCATTATCAGCAATAGAAAACAAATTATCTAATGATGCCTTTTTGGTGGTCTGATTGTTGGGGGAAAATTTCAAATGATGATAGTGGGCGTTCTGTCAAAAAATCAAATGTAATCAAAGTAAAGAGAGAGTAAAGTGAAAAATCATCTGCCACACAGGCAGGGGGAGGGGTGGGATGGAAGGTATACTGGGGTTCTTGATTGTGGAACATGTGCACTGGTGAAAGGATGGGTGTTTAATCATTGTATGGCCGAGACTTAAACCTGAATGCTTTGTAACTGTTCTCACGGTGATTCAATTTAAAAAAATGAGAAACAGACAAATCAGCAAATATAGATAGGTATATCAATACTCCCTCTTAAAAAACTGGTAAAATAAGTCACAAAATAAATACAAAACAGAAGATTTAAATAACATTGCTAATAAATTGGATCTTATTATGGTTTATAGAACATTATACTCAATAAATAACACATTGTTATTCTGTTGCACATGTATTATCCACCAAGATGGATAATAGTCTTAGCAACAGATTTTAAATAATACAATGTTTTTAAAATATAAGAGAATCAAATTAGTTAAGTGCTGAAAGTAGACTAAGAACCAAACATGATGGTCTTAGTATCTATATTGAAACTATAATGCCCAAAAGGAGAGAGAGAGAGAGAGAGAGAGAAAGAGAGAGAGAGAGAGAGAGAGAAAGAGAAAGAGAGAGAGAAGGAATGTAAGAGGTGGGGGTGGGATGGGATGGAGGTGGTGGGAGGGGTACTGGGAACATTGGTGGTGGAAAATATGCATTGGTGGAGGGATGGGTGCGTGATCATTGTATGACTGAAACTTAGTCATGAAGGTTTATAACAATCTCACAGTGATTCAATGAAAAAAGGAGAGAATCAAATTAGAAAAATTAAGCCAAAATCACTATGGTATTGCTTAATATTTGAAAATTAACAATATATTAAATAAAAATACACAAAATTTAGAAAATATTTTGAAATAAGGAAGTCACATATATTGCAATTTAATATTCTAAAGCAGCACAGCGGTAAGGTGTTTGCCTTGCACGCAGCCAACATGGCCGACCCGAGATCAATTCCTCCGCCCCTCTCAGAGAACCCGGCAAGCTACGGAGAGTATCTCGCTTACATGGCAGAGCCTGGCAAGCTCCCCATGACGTATTCGATATCTCAGATACAGTAACAACAAAGTCTCCAATGGAGACGTTACTGGGCCCGCTCGAGCAAATCAGTGAACAACAGAGGACCGTGACCGTGAATATTCTAAAGCAGTATATAGACTATACTGTACACCCTCTTAACCAGATTGATTGGGGTAAAAATAAACAGATACAATTTTCAACACTAAGATTAATTTTAAGAGGGATGTCAGAGCAAATGTTACATAATCTAAAAGGATAAGAGGGTAATATGAATAACTCAAAGATAAATTTAGCAACTTAGATAAAACATATTATTATAAAATTACAAACGATCACTTAAAATATTTGACATATTGTAAATATTTTTTAAAAATTAAGAGTTTCTAGTTTAAAATCTGGGGACATCTATATTCAGGGATTGGAAGAATCATTTCAGATAATTACCCAGTTGTTTTTTTTTTAATGGATATACTGATTGAATTTTATCCCAGTAAGGATGGCAGCAGGAATTTGGGACCCAATTCTATTTAATTTCCAAACATGATGAGGTCATAATTTTTTGAACAGAAGTAGGTCAAAAACCTAAACAGAAGAGCTAAAGATGTATAACTTATAGAAATAACAGGACAAAACCTTTGTCATTCTTGAGTTAGGCAAAGATATTTCAAAATACAAAAGCATGAACCATGAACAAAGCAAAATAAATGGGGACTAGTGAACATTCAAAACATTGGTTAAGAAAAGGAAAAGATAAACAACAGGTTGAGAGAAAAATATTTGCACTTTTCCCATAAGGGATATTGGGGATTGAGCAGCAGTTGGATGTGTTCCCTGCAGATTATATTTTTTAACCCTCATTTTTATTTTTTGTTTGATTTTTTGTGGTTTCTTCTGGGGTCATAAATGACAGTGTTTAGGAACTGGCAGTCCTTGGGAGCTTCTTACAGCAAGTGATATTGGAAGTTTGCTCTAGGTGTTGCTCTAGTGGTACTCTAGGATTTTGCTGTAGGTAGCGCATGCATTGCTGAGGATGCCACCTGGGGTTTCCGCATGCAGAGCATGACTCCAGCCCTTTGAACCATTTCCCAGCAAATAGCACATACCTTAAACTTTTATTTCTATCATTGAAATTTTGAACTCTGCCAAAAATAGCTTTTTTTTGTCATACAAGTTTCCAATTACTAAATGTACTTATTTTATAATTATTTTTAAGCTAACAGTTCATTTCTTTCTTTGTTAATATTTTAATTAGATAGTGCTAATTTATTCTTTTAATTTTCTTTGCGCTGATAGTTTTTATTTGTCTAGTCATCTATTTGATAGTGTCATTTCTAATTGGTTGATTCAGCAGTCTATATCTGCTGTTGGTGGAGATACAGCACTGTCCTCCCATTGTTCATCGATTTGCTAGAGCAGGCACCAGTGACATGTCCACTGTGAGACTTGTTGTTACTGTTTTTGGCATTTCCAGTACGTCATGTTTAGTCTGCCAGGCTTTGCCGTATGGGCAGGATACTCTTGGTTGCTTGTTGGGCTCTCCTAGAGGGACAGAGAAATGGAACCCGGGTCAGCCGTGTGCAAGGCAAACGGCCTACCCTCTGTGCTATTGTTCCAGCCTGTGGTACTATATTTGTGTACTGAGCTTCTTGCTGTATCATGTAGGTAAAAGTTACTGTCTAAATGGAGGTATCGGGGCACCTCAGTCCCTTGAACTCCTTTATAATGCATCCTCAAACTTATCTCCAGTTTCTTCTGTGTTAATTAACTCTGAGTTTATGGTTTCTCCAGAACTGCCCATTTCTTTGGAGAATTTTTTTCCTGTGAGTTTCATTTTCTATGATAGATTCTTAATAGCAACTGTTTATTATTATAGGGGAAAGTCTCAAAATATTTTATTACTAGTAACATTTTTAATTTCAAAACATTTCAAAAAATTAAAATATCTCATATTTTATGTTTAGTCTGCATTCGATTTAACTTCATAATGTTTAATACATGCATTATTAGTGATGCATTTCCCCCCCACACACACTTTATTTAAACATCGTGGTTTACAAAGTTGTTCATGATAATTTGTTACAGGCATTCAGTATTCCAAAACCAATCCCATCACCACTGTCTCCTTCCTTCCACCATTGTCTCTATTTTCCTAACCACCCTGCATACCTGTCCCCATAGCAGGGCCACAATCATTTATTTTATATTTCTCGTTACCACTAAATGGTTTAATAGAATGATCAAAAAATGTTTTCATAGAAAAAATTTGTGAAAATTGTTGTATCTCATCATGGAAATATCAAGTCCTTGTGTGAGGGTTTGCTAAGCTATTATTGCCTGTGTTAATTTTTTTTAAATTGAGATTGATTGGCTACTACCTTATATCCCATCCAGTGTGGTGTGCAACTACTGGAATGTCAGTATTATAGAGTTTGGAGATGTCACTTTAGAAAATCCAGAATATTTTACTAGGCAGTTCAGATTGAGGTATGGCAATGCTTTGGGGTGTGGGGGTGGCTGCCAAGGCTTTGGTAGGGTGGACACTGGCCTGTCCTATCTCTGAGATAACCCCAGAGGTCTCAGCAGGGAACAGGTATCTGAGAAATTTTTGTGGCTAGTTGATCTCTTTCGGGATTTATGAGTCTCTGGAAAAGGGCCAGTAGATGAGCTTACATGGCAGTGGCACTGGGACATCAGTGATGTATTTTGATCTTCATTTTTTTGTGTTTTTTGTTTGTTTTGGGGCCACAACCATTCAGGAATAAAAAGGTTATCAAAACAGTTCAGGGCTTATGCCAGGCTCTGGGCTCTGGGATCACTCTTGTGGGCTTGGAGGACCATATGGAGGGTCTGGGGTTTGAATCTGAGTTGGCCAAGTGCAAGGCAAGTATCCACATGCTGGGCTATTGCTCCAGCCCTTTGACTTTTTGAATAATTACAGGGTAACTGTAGAGCTAAAAGAATTTTGGTTCTAAAAAAATTGTAAAGCAAAACAAATGACATGTGTTTGCTTTTTTATAAGGGAAACTGAAATGCTTTATATTCAGTGACTCTTATTTTCTATAATACTTTTTACTTAGATTAGAATATGAATCATTCTGTTAAAGAAGAATATTATACTTAAAATTGAGCAAATAATTTACAAATTCATTAATTCAAGTAGTTTGAGATTACTCTGAGATATATTCATCTAATGCTGGGAGAATGAACTAGGAGAGGACTCAGCATATGCTCTGAAATGGTATCACTGTAAAAAATAAAATATTCTTCCTAGTATGACATGTTGTTGAACACTTAATTATTGTGCTTGTACATTTATATAACCAAACTGGGCTTAGCTGAAATTTTGTTATTATATCTTCTTTTCTTAGTTTGATACCTTTCAAAGCAATCTTCAGAATATTAAAGAAGCTAAAAGTGATGACTTTCATGCTCCTGACTCTAATAATGAAAAGAGCACACGAATCACTAAAAATAAACTAAAAAGCAAACAATTAACAGCTGAAAGCCAAGATGATGATGTTAGTGCAGAAGACAAGCAAGAAAAGAGGAATAAAAAGGTTATCAAAACAGTGTTTCAGATGAGTGCACAAGAAATGGAACTGGAGATGTCTGAGAAGAAAGTGGATTCCACACATCAGAAAACACGAACAAAATCACAGCCAGATGTTGCTCAACAGAAAAGTGAGAATGCAAATGAAGAAAGGGAAAATAATTTAGATGAAGAAGAAGAAATGCTGCAATTGTACCAGCTCAAAGTAGCTGAAGAAATGGCAAAGGAGATTAAGAAGAAAATAAGAAAGAAACTCAAAGAACAGTTGGCGTATTTTCCCTCAGATACTTCATTGAATGATAATAAGTTGAGCAATGAAAAAAGGAAGAAGAAAAAGAAAAAGAAAATTCCAGTCCTGTCTGAAGCTGAAACAAGGTATTTTACTTTGGTAAATATAAAATGATCTCTTAAAGAAACATTCTTTGCTGAAAAGTGATATACATGACAACCCTTCCGTACCTGTGTTGCAAACCACAGTGAGAGTGAGAGAGACAGAAAGAAACAGAGAGAGAGTGGGAGGGAGGGAGGCAGGGAGGCAGGAAGGGAAAGAGGACAGCTGTTGGGGATGGAGTGGCAGGAGAGAAACTGAGGACATTGGTGGTGGGAAATGTGCACTGGTGCAGGGATAGGTGTTTGAACGTTGTGACTCAGCTCAGTCATGAACAACTTTGTAACTATCTCAGTGATTCAGTATTTTTTTTCCAAAAAAAAAAACACTCTTATTTTGAACTTTTGAGGTCTAATATTCTTTTTTTTTTCTTATCTTTTTCCTTTTTGGGTCACACCCAGCGATGCTTAGGGGTTACTCCTGGCTCTGCACTCAGGAATTACTCCTGGTGGTGCTGGGGGGACCATACAGGATACTGGGGATCAAACCCAGGTCGGCCTTGTGCATATATCCATTAGAAAATACAAACATTTTATTTTTGTTCCAAATTTGTTGTCACACTTGGTGGTATCAGGGCTTACTTCTCATTCTATACTCATGAGTCACTCCTGCTATGTTCAGGGGGGCACGTGCTGGGTATCTGACAGGGCTTGACTGTGCAAGGCAAGTGCATTTTCTGGTCCTTCACAATTTTTATCTTAAAATAAAAAACAACATCAATCACATTGAAAACATAACAAAACAAAACTTTTTTGTTTCCAAATTACTTACAAAGTTATTCATCATTGACATTTCAGCAGAGTAGATTTAATCAGACCTGGTTTCACTGCTCATATATTAAAATATCATTTCCCCCAGAGATAAAGCTTAATTCATGGCATATATATTTTATCACAAAGTATAAAATAAAATATATAATGATAACTAGTTTAACTATAATTTTAGTGCATTAGGAAATATGTGCATATCCCAGCAATACTGGTTTAAGATTATAGAATAATACTGGTTTAAGATTATAGAATAATGCTTTTCTCTTATTAGTATTACTCTGTTGTGCTATGAATAATGAATAATAATAATAATAATAATAATAATAAACAGTTTGCACTTGGGTTAAATTTGCAGTGCATCACTCGTATCTAATGACACAGTTGAAGGTGAGCAAAAGAAACAATCTGTCATAGGAGTTATTACTTCAGAATCTCATCAAGAAGATGAAATAAACTCAGTAGAACAGAGTGTTGAAGAGAGCATGCAAGATGACACAAGATCCAAGCCAAAAAAGAAGAAAAAGAAGGCTAAAGCAGGTTTGTGTATACAAGTTAACCGAAAACTCTTATTTTGTGGTGAAAATAAGTTAATTCTACACCTTTGAGTCCTCAAAGCAATAAAATCTATACCACAAGATGTAACTGAAACAATCCAATGTAAACTGCTTGGTAATTATTCCTGTAGTCACCTTCATTAAGGTATTCATTTATTTGTAACTTTGGACCTCTATATTGGTAATTTTGGTTGCCCATCTCTAACTCTTTACCTAATTTGATTTATTATGATAAAGTTAATTTTGTGGTTGATATAGTGTCAAAGAAAATTTCTCTTAAAATTGAGGTTAGATGCTCTAAAAAACCCTAAAAATCATAGTTATTGAAAGTTATAAATAAAAGTGTAATTGGTCAGCAGTCAGTAAATATTTTAGATTTTATTTTAGGACTGAAATTTCCTACTTTTGTTGTACCCCAAAATTGCTGAATGCTGTACCTTTATTATCATTCAGTAAAAATAGTTTTGAATTTATCTTATAATTTATCCATTAGACTTAAAGAACATAATTTTATTTGATATTTCTGTAATGTTGGTGAAAGATACCGTCTGTTATTTTGAATTAGCCATGCTTTATTTTATTTATCAATTTATTTTTCAGCGGTGCTAGGTATCAAATCTAAGTGCTCATACACTCTTACACTTAAGTATATTTCTAACCCTTAAATATTTTTAAAGAACCTACTCACAGGTCACTTGTTATCATTTCTCTTAGTATTGAAATTTTCTACATCTATTATAACACTGAGAACTTACTGAGAACTTTAGTTAATGTAGTAGGGGACTTTATAGTTAATTTTTTGGTTTTGTTTTCTAGCTTCCATTGTGATTAGAGAGTAGATAGTGAATGATTTCAATTTTCTAAATTAATTGAGGTTTTGTTTTGTTTTTCATGTCAGATCAGTGTTGGGAGGCTGTATGATCTAAAAATCTGACCCTTTCTTCTAGGTTTCCCAATTTAGGAGTATAAAGTTATTTATTGTAGTTTCTTATAAACCTTTGTATTTCTGTTTTATAACTTCTCCATTTACGCTTTTGATCTTCTTTACTACGGTTTTTCTTTTTGTTTTGCCAGCTTTACCAACAGCTTATCAGTCTTGTTTATTCTTTTGAAGAATCAGCTCTTGGTTTTATTGAACCTTTGAGCCCGAGGTGGTTTGTGGGTGTGTTTCCCACATACCTAACTTTAGGCCATTTACTTTCTTGGTAAATTTTGCCCCAAGTTTTTGGGGTCTGGCCAAAGGCACAGCAGCAATTTTGGGGGATCTGGAAGTCTGAAGGCACCATCAGGCTGTTGATGCACGCGCCTCACAGGTACAGATTGGCCTGCTGGTGGCACCATACTCCTGCCTGAGAATGTTTTTATCCTTTCTTTACCTCTGAGTGATAACCTTATAAGATAGAGAATTCTTGATTGAAGGTTCTTTACATTCAATACTGTGTTTTTATCATTCCATTCTCTTCTTGTTCCCGCCTTGTATATGAAGTTTTGCTTCTCTTTCGCTGCTTTAAATAGACTCTGTCTTTGGTTCTTACTGTTGTTATGTTTGGGTTTATTTTGTTTGGCAGTCTTTGAACTTCTTGGATTAGTACCCAGATATGTCTACATATTGGGGAATTTTTCATCTTTTATTTTTAATTAGCCATTCCTACCCTCTCTTCTTCCCCTTTCCTCTCCTGGGGTTCCTACGATTCTGAGGTTATTTATCCTAGTAGTATCAATAGTATTTCACATTCTTTTCATTTTTCCTCTTTTTCCTTTCTATAGTTCCTACTTTATAAGATTGTCCCCAAAGGAACCTATAAACCAATTTCCAACAGGCATTTGTGGTGAATGTCAGGAATTCTAGCCTGAGAATAATGGATAATTCCTATGGACCTCATATGGGTAGACCATGCCTTCCTGTGTTTCCTCTTGGCCTTTTTTAAATACCTTCTACCTGGAGGGAGATTTCACTGCCTCCTAAGAATTTCATATAGCCTCAGAAATGTGACCCTTTTTTGAGGCTTCCAAAGTCTCTGATTTTATTGTCCTGACTTCATGCCATCACCCAGTTTTTTTCTGATTTCTCTTTCTCCCAGTGATACTCTTCTTGGGCCAAGTCCCTGCCCTTCCCACACACTGTATCAGCAAGTGTCTACAGAGATGGAAACAAATGCCAGACCATCAGCTGACCTCTGATTCTCACTCTCTCTGGAAGCTTAGTCTATATACTGTGTGTCCTGACTTTTGATACCTTCTAAATATTCATTATATTTTATTTGTCTCTTTCAATTTGTTGTTATGAGATGTATTGATAAATAGAATCTCTGCTTTTCTATCCAGAAGCAAAAAATACAGTAAAAAATGAGATTAGTTATGTATATTTTATTTTAAAAAATATTTTAAAAAATTTCTTTTGTGTCCTTAGATTTTTTTCTTTTGTTTAATTGTCCTTGGAGAAAAATTCATTACTTCTGTTTTAATGCATTAGCAAATGTAATGTTTTATTCTGAGTGTACTGTATTTTTATGTGACTTTCTATTTTTCCCTTGACATTTTTTATTATTAAATACAAATCATGAATTATACATATGGGGCCATATATGAATTCAACATACTTTGTTGATATTTTAGGAACAATAAATTGTAACATTGATTTATATATATATAATATATATATAGCTTTAGATGCTAATGAAGATGCTGATGGTGATGGCTTTCATGAAGAAATGAGCCAAGATAGTCCAGTTTCTCCTAAATATTCACTTGATGATGACCTTGTTCTCGGAGTTTATATTCATCGAACAGATCGGCTTAAGTCAGATTTTTTGATTTCTCATCCAATGGTAAAAATTCATGTGGTTGATGTGAATACAGGTCAATATGTCAAGAAAGATGAAAGGTAATCATTTTTTATTGTACAGCTAGCCCTTGAAATCGATACTATCTTTTGTAGAAGTAATTTTTTCAATGGAAAGTCAATGAGAATAGAGTCATAACATTATAATTTTAAAAAGCGTATATGAAAATATTCATTTATCATTGAATTAATGTTCTTTGTAGAAGAAATGAATAATATCTAGGTTGGGTTTTTTGTTTTGTTTTTGTAGTTTTGTTTTGGTTCACACCATGGTGGTGCTCAAGGCTTACTCCTGGCTCTACATTTACAAACACTACTGGCAGGCTTAGGAGATCATTTGGGGTGCCAGGGATCAAACCTGGGTCTGCTGGGCACAAGACAAGTACCCTACCCACTGTACTATTGCCCCAACCCCTGGAGAACATCTGTTTGTTCATTTATGTGAAGAGAATAGAGCTTTAATCGGTAGCACAGTAGCATGATGCTCCCATTGTTCATCGATTTGCTCTAGCAGGCCCTGTAACGTCTCCATCATGAGACTCGTTGTTACTGTGTTTGGCATTTTGAATACGCCACGGGTAGCTTGCCAGGCTTTGCCGTGCAGGTGAGATACTCTCAGTAGCTTGCCGGGCTCTCCAAGAGAGGTGGAGGAATCGAACCTAGCTCAGCTGGGCCGGCTGCACGCAAGGCAAATGCCCTACTGCTGTGCTATCACTCCTTCAAAAATGATTTGTGGCATTTCAGCATAATGGTTTCAATATTATATTACATGTTAGTGCTTTAGTCATCTATATTCATATTTTTATTTTGAAATTAATGCATTACCTAAGTCCCACCTGAGATAACTTGGTCCTGAATTTATTTTACTAATAATACTTATATGTATGTATGTATGTATAGCTTATATATATATATATATATATGCTTGAAGTTCCTCAAAAAATATTGCTTGGAAAGATACAGGAGTACAAAGTATGAGATATTACAAATAAAGCTGGTCACTTTTTCAGTGGTCCCTGGGCATACAAAATAAAATACATCTTAAAGGGTCTATAATTCTGTTATGTTAGGTTTGTAATTTTCCTATTTGGATTTAATTTTACAATTTTACCAAAAAATAATTTATGATCCAAAATAATTTGTGATCTAATTTATAGAACTTTATTCTAGTTCTATATCCTAGACTATCATAAAATAACAGTGAAACTACTGTATTATATAAATCAAGATGATGGTAAAGTACTATCACTTGTAAGTCTTATAAAATTTTTATAGATTGGGAATCAAAAATAATTTTTGATACCATGAATGTTTATTATTTTGTATTAATCTGGTCTTTCTAAACACTATTTTAATTTTCTCTCATCTTCTCAAAGTTACTCTAAATCATGTTAACAGAAACATCTATTTTTATATAGTGAACGGCCTGTTTCATCTTACTATGAAAAAGAGAGTGTGGATTATATTCTTCCTATTATGACCCAGCCATATGATTTTAAACAGTTGAAGTCAAGGCTTCCAGAGTGGGAAGAACAAATTATATTTAATGAAAACTTTACTTATTTAATTAGAGATTCTGATGAGAGCCCCAAAGTCATCCTTTTCTTTGAGGTATGAACTGAATATATTTAAGCTGAATTTTGTATTTTAATTACACAATATAAGGTATTGTGATTTGAAAATTTCATCACTAGGATTTAATGTTTGTAATATACTATAGAAATATAGGTAAAAATATAAAAGTAGTTTCTTTGTTTAGCATTTGCTAGAATCAGTTAATTTATTTTCTATAATTTAGTTCTTATGGTGCTATGACTGTTAACTGAAGCAATGTATCAATGTAAAATCTTCCATTCTTAACACATTTCAAAAAGTTTCAATTCATTTAAGTCTCCTTTGGTGTTTTCTTATGACTTGTAGTAATAAAGATTAAGGTACAAGAGAATATAATGAAAAGTCATAGAACTTCTTAGATAGAAAGACTTATTAAAGACTCAAAGCAAATCAAGGGAAACTACACAATATATATGACCTTTGATCTTGTTTTCTCTTTGAAAGTTTTACTGCAAAGAAAGTCAAGTTCACAGGATGATTTCCCTGAAGTTATTCCAATTTGCTTGAGCGGGGCCAGTAACATCTCCATTGTGAGACTTGTTGTTACTGTGTTTGGCTTATTGAATACATCACGGGGAGCTTGCCAGGCTCTGCCTTGTGGGCTTGATACTCTCAGTAGCTTGCCAGACTCTCAGAGAGGGCCAGAGGAATTGAACCCAGGTCTGTCGGGTCAGCCGTGTGCAAGGCAAACGCCCTACCACCGTGCTATCGCTATCATCTTGTGGCATATTGATTTTAAGTGTGAATTATAATGTCTAGATAGGATGGAGATGTGGAAAAAATCCTCTTGGAAGCCTCATAACATTACCAAGAGATAATATCCCCAACTTCTGGAATATGATTAAAGGAAAGACCCACATAAAGCTATAATTTTCTTTACCTTTTGGGGGAGTGGGGGTGGCAAAACCCTCCTAAATCATACTCAGGGATACCAGAGACCACTCCTTAGTGAGACTGCTTAACCAGGTCAGCGGTCTAGTGTTAGAGCCCCAACATTTGGGGCTGCGTGGTCCCTGCAGTTATGGAGCACCCAAGGGCAACCTTGTGGGACTTGGGAGATGTCCTGGGCTACATTTAATGATGCTGAAAACCATGAATTTTGAAAAACAGTCCTCTCATATACATATGCGCAAAACTTAAAAACTTTATCCCTGGGGTACTATAGACTGTTTTAAAGATGATTAACAATTGGTTAAAAGTGTTCTCTCTCTCCATAAGGAGAAAAATCTTTAATTATAAAATGATTCTTGTATTTTCATTGAATACATGGTTGGGAAATAATAAATTTTAGGAATTTTAATGTTTTTTGAAGTGATTTTAATATTTCTTTATAGATTCTTGATTTCTTAAGCATGGATGAAATTAGGAATCACTCTGAGGTTAGAAACCAAGAATGTGGCTTTCGGAAAATTGCTTGGGCGTTTCTCAAGGTATGTTTCTTTCCACACTTTAAGCACTTTTAAAATAATCTTCATATCTTATTGGTTATTTTTTCCCAAGTTAGTTTAATTTTTATAAAGGGCTTCTGAACCATATTAAGACTGTAGTAATATCAATTTAAGTGATGTTCATTAAGATTTTTAAATATTTATTGAGGGCCCAGGATTTTTCAAGTTCACTCTATGACTCTAAGGGTTTAACACTAGAAGAAGCACAAAGCCTGCTATAATTTTTAACTCAGCATACATGTAATAAACCCTTTCTGTGATTCAGTCACTGTTCCATCTTGTAAAAAAATAAGCATTTATCTTATTTGTTAGTGAATACATAATTTATTATATTATATTTTTTATAAATGCCCATGAGTAGCATAGATCAGGTGATAAAAGCATCTTTTATGCTCAGAGAACAGGGTCTCCTGGGCTCATTCCCAGCACTACTTGATTGGGATGGCCGCGTTTGATGCTGAGACCCAAATGTGCATGCTTCTTGGGCTCTGTGGTGCCAGGAACCACCAAGGCCACACCATTGGTGCTTTGGGGATTTTAGTGCCAAACCATGAAGGTTCTGTGGTACCTAGAATTGATCCGGTTTGGGTGTGTGCATGCTAATTAGTGTACTCTTCCTAGTCCCTGGTTTTCAACCTTTTTAAATCTGTGACTAACTGTGACCACTTTTTGGGCTGGGGCGATAGCACATCAGGTAGGGTGTTTGCCTTGCATGCGGCTGACCCAGGTTTGATTCCTCCATCCCTCTTAGAGAGCCCGGCAAGCTACTGAGACTATCCTGCCCGTACAGCAGAGCCTGGCAAGCTCCCCATGGCACATTCAATATGCCAAAAACAGTAGCAACAAGTCTCACTTCGTGTTCCTGAAGCGAACAGACGCCACTGGGCTACACTAGCACATGTCAGGGACGAATGGAGACGTTACTGGTGCCTGCTCGAGCAAATTGATGATCAACGGGAGGACAGTGCTACAGTTTTTTGTTTTTATATATTTTTTTACTTCAAACATAAATTTGACTTAGAGAATTCTTGATTAAATAACATTACTATCTTTGTTGTTTTTTTCATTTGTTCATTTGTTTGTTTTGCCCCACACTGACAGGCTCTTGGGACCCTATGTGGTGCTGAGGATCAAATCAGAGTCTACTGCCTACAAGGCAGGCACCTTACCCCTTGCACTATCCCTCAGGCCCTCTGATTGCTAGCTTAGGAAACTTACTTTTGCACATCTATCAGTGGTTAGTGTAATGCCTGTCAGTTTGTTAAATATAGAATACTCATCTATCAATTAGACTTTTTCTTACTCTCTGGTTTTGGTGTAAACATATAACCTACTCTTTAATATGCTGTAAACACTGAAAACTGAGCTCAGGTACTTCATTCATGGTAAGAATTAGAGACTGGGTAGTCTGAATTAATGCTGAATGTCAGACAGCTTGACTGTGATGATTAGAAATTTTGGACCATGGAGATAGTACTGTGGGTAGGGTTTTGTCTTGCCCTTTGTCTTATTTTGTCTTACTTGTGGGTAGGGTTTTGTCTTGCCCTGGGGCTGACCCGGCTTTGAATCCCCTGCACCCCCATAGGCCCTCTCACTGCTGCCAGATGTGATCTTTGAGCACAGAGCCAGGAGTAAGCCCTTATCAGTGCCCCAAAACAGCAAAAAATTCTAGAAGACCTTAACTGTCATCGTGCCTACTATACCTACTTAATCTCCCTTCTATAACCTGTTTCACTTTTTTTACTATACCCCTTCTCTTTTGCTCGAGCGGGCCCAGTAACGTAACGTCTCCATTGGAGACTTTGTTGTTACTGTGTCTGGCATATCGAATACTCTCGGTAGCTTGCCGGGCTCTCCGAGAGGGGCGGAGGAATTGAACTCGGGTTGGCCATGTTGGCCGCTTGTAAGGCGAACGCCCTACCCGCTGTGCTATCGCTCCAGCCCTACCCCTTCTCTTAGAGGGAAAAAAAAAAAAAAAGTTTTACAAAACTCAAGGTCATTTTCACATACAAAGATTGCCATCTTGTGGTAATTTTAAGCAACTGCTCTCAGAGGACACCTATGGCTTCAGAATCAGGAGAGTAGTCCCTTTCATTAGCTCTAGCCTGGCAAAGGAAGTGCAATGGCAAGTTAGTATGCCAGGCAGGCATGATTCTGGACACCAGGGTGTGGTCATCACCTGCAACATAATGATCACGTGTGGAGAAGTCCTACAGCCCACATGAGTACTGCAACTTACAGGGCTTAGAATCAGCAGGGAAGGAGATGACACTGAGGAGGCTGCTTTGAAGAAGTTGGTGACAGCTACAAAAAGGAAACTGCTTTTATTCCTTTCATGTGTTCATTTTTGCAGACCTTTAGTGTTTGCTATAAGCTCCATGTGGAAAACAATAATATGTCTTATGGAGCGATAGCACAGCGGTAGGGCATTTGCCTTGCACGCAGCCAACATGGCCGACCCGAGTTCGATTCCTCCACCCATCTCGGAGAGCCCGGGAAGCTACCGAGAGTATCTCGCCCACGCGGCAGAACCTGGCAAGCCACCCGTGATGTATTCGATATGCCAAACACAGTAACAACAAAATCTCCAATGGAGACCTTACTGGGCTCACTCGAGCAAATTGCTGAACAACGGGAGGGCCTTTACCTTTACTTTTTATAAAGCTTTAAGTGTGGTAAGAATTTTTAAATTTATGTATCTTATGCCATTGGCTGAAGTGGCAATCTCCCATCTCTCTCTGCTATTAAGAAAAAAGTATACTGTGTCTTCTTCTGTTGTAACATATATTTCCTTTATTGTCTGTAAGCTTTTCAGTCATGGGTCACTTCCTTTTGGCAAATTTGTTGAAAATTTTTAGTTTTTATTAAGTATCATTGTATTTAATATATTAGTCTCTTAAAACTATTCCATAATATTACTGGTTCTAGAATATTAACGCCTTGAAGAGTTCTCAGTGCCAGAGGAACTAATTCTGAGTCAGTGGCATTTTTTTTCCTCATGAAAGTATATTGAGTACGCCACAGATAGCTTGCCAGGCTCTGCCGTGCAGGTGGGATATTCTCGGTAGCTTGCCAGGCTATCTGAGAGGGATAAAGGCTTTTAGGACGACCTCTAATTGCCCTTGCAGGTGTTCCCATGGTTCAAACCATATTTGAGACCCATCAGCTATGGTGCGCTAATCTTGGAAGATGGGTATTTAGTGTCTTATGATGTGTCGCGTGGCTGCTTCGGTCTGGAAAGTGCCCTGAAGTGTGGCGGTCGGCTGGGTAGTGGAGGTCTGCCAATGAGGTATTTATCTGGTACTGATAGGGTGGTAGGGTGGGTCAACGGAGATTGGTGGGAACAGGCAGAGAATCTCTATTCCCGGGTCCCCTTGAGCCTGGAGTCCAAGGTCACAGAGTTCCGCTTACCTGGTTCTGTGGGGCTTCACTCATGCGTGAGTCTCAGCCCGAATGTCCGGAAAGCATCCTGGAGCATGGTGGCGGCTGGGTAGTGGAAGTAGTGTAGGACACTCGATATGTCAGAACCAGTAGATACAATGGGTCTCATTCTCCTGACCCTGAAGGAGCCACCAATATGGCAGCATTAGGTAGGATGAGGAAGGAGAGGCTGATAAAATCTCAAGGCCGAACTAGGCTGCCAAAATGAGGAAGAACAAAAACGACTGTCTGTACTTTCAGTGCACATATGCTGGCATTGGATGCATCCATCAAGGACCTGATGGTACAAGTGCGAAAGATCAAGTATGACATCATTGGTCTGACCAAGACGAGTAGGCATCAATCACATCACGCCGTTTTAGACACTGGAGAAAAACTGTTCCTCAGAACATGTGAAAAAAGAGGCATTGGTGGTGTCCGTGTCCTTGTCAACATGAACTTGGCCATAAATATTGATTTATTCGCATGCCTAACAACCCAAATAAGACTTTTACACTTGAATAGATGTGGCTCACTGCCGGCAGTTTCTATCTTCATTGTCTACGTACTAACATCCAATTATGATGAAGGAGAAATTGAGAAGTTCTACATGGAGCTGGAGAAGTTCTATAAAGAAGACCACACCTTCTACAAGATCATTTTTGGTGATTTTAATGCCAAGATAGAACTGAGAAAATCAGTCAAAGAACTCCACATTGGGACCCATGGCCTAGAATGGAACGAACAGGGTGAGAGATTGTCTAAGTTCATCATGTCGACCAAGACCATCCGTGATAACTCACAGTTCCAGAAGGCCAAATCTAAACGTTGGACCTAGGAGTCTCCCAGTGGACAGTGCCACAACTAAATTGACCACATCATATTCAATCAACGGTTTTGCCTGACCAATGTCACTGTTGTTCCAAAATTCCAAATAGGATCAGACTACTGTCTCCTTCATGCAAAATTCTATTTCAGGGAGCAGGGAAAAAGGGCTTCAGAGTTTAAGAAGAGAACTCCCAGAATGACCACCAACTGGGAGCTCTATGGCACTATTGTGGCAATATGGGAATATGCCATCATTGACAACATTGATGAAGAATAGGATAGACTGGTTCAGCACCTCCATGATTGTGCGAGGAATGCCAAGAGAGAGATAGCCAGAAAAAGATGCCTGTCTTCAAAAACTATTGAGTTCATTCTCCAACGTGGCTTGGTGCAAGCCTCAGGCAACCACAAACAAATGTCCAAGCTACAAAGCAGTACAGAGAAGTGATAAAGGAAGATCTCAAAGAGAGAAGAGCAGCAGTGCTGGCAGATCGGCAGAAGCCGGTAAAAGCATTCACAGTGCCCACCTGTTCTTTGCCAACTACAAGACCAAGATGACTGTCCTCCGACCTCCTGATGGATCTACCACATTTTCCAGAAGGGCAATGGAGAAGATTATTCATGACTTTGACTTGGATCTCTTTGATAGCCATGTCCACCTGACCACATACCAAATTCTGCAGGATGGATATGTCGTTCCCAACGTTCTCCCTTCCGAAATCCGACATGCCATTTCATTGGTAAAGAAGCGAACAGCATCCGGCCCAGACAGGGTCAGACCCGAATAGCTGAAGAACCTGCCATCAGTACTCATCAATACATTGACTTGACTCTTCATACACTACCTGTCTGAATACAAGGTTTCGTCCCAATGGAAAACCAGCAGGTCTGTACTACTGTACAAAATGGAGACATCCAAGACATTGGCAACTATTGATTGATCTGCCTGTTGTCTGTCATCTACAAGCTGTTCACTCAGGTCATCCCGAATAGGATTGGCAGAATAGTAGATGAAGAACAACCATTCTAGCAAGCCGAAAAGGATTCAGCACGATCGACCATATCCAATGATAACCAAGCTCATTGAGGTTTCTCGGGAATTCAAGATGCCACCCTGTCTAATGTTCATTGATTTAAAGAAGACCTTTGATTCTGTTAAGACTGAAGCAGTCATTGAAGCCCTAGCCAAACTGTCACTGTCACTGTCCTCCCGTTGTTCATCGATTTGCTCGAGTGGGCCCAGTAACATTGTGAGACATGTTACTGTGTTTGGCATATCAAATATGTCACGGGTAGTTTGCCATGCTTTTCCCTGTGGGCGAGATACTCTCAGTAGCTTGCTGGGCTCTCTGAGAGGGGTGGAGGAATCAAACTCAGGTTGACCCAGTCAGCCATGTGCTAGGCAAATGCCCTGCCTGCTGTGCTATTGCTCTATCCCCCCTAGCCAAACACAGCATTCAAAAATCAATACATCAGGATCCTTCGTGAGCTGTATTACGGATTCACTACCAGGATCACACCATTCTACAAGGAAGTGATCATCCATGTCAAGAGAGGGAGGGGTTCAGCAGGGTGATACCATTTCACTGAAACTCTTCAGTGCCACCCTCGAGAGGATGTCATGCAACAACTGAAATGGGATAGAATGGGAGTGAAGATAGACGGTTGTCAATTATACCACCTCCGCTTCACTGATGACATCGTTCTAATAACACCAAAACATTAGCCAAGCAGCACAAATGCTGGCCAACTTTGACTGTGAGTGTGGTCTCCAGCTGAATCTCACGAGGACAATATTTATGAGAAACGGTCTCATTTTTGATGTTCCATTTATTCTCAATGGAACAAACATCTACAAATGCAACAGTTATGTGTACCTAGGTCTATAAGTCAACATGACGAATGACCTGGCACCTGAGTTGCGCAGGAGGAAGAGAGCAGTTTGGAACGCCTTCAAAAGCATTGAAGAAATAGCTAAGAGGACGAAGAACTTCTGGCTCCGGGCACATCTTTTCAATTCCACTGTTCTTTCTGCATTAACATATGCCTCAGAGACCTGGGCCCTACGAAAACAGGATGAGAATGCTATTTGGCTCTCCCAAAGAGGAATCGAAAGAGCTATGCTTGGAGAGTCATGCTTCACTCAAGTGAGAGAAGGAATCCGGAGTTCTAACCTCCACCAATGATCAAGAATCAGGGACGATGTCTCGTTTGCCAAATCATCAAAAATCAGATGAGCTGGACACATAATGAGATTTGGAGATGACCGCTGGACTAGAGCCATTACCGACTAGTTTCCATAGGATGTCAAAAGATCGCATGGCCTCCCACCTACGAGATGGTCAGACTTCTTTGTCAAGACCCTGAACGATCAGTATGAGGCTCTTTGTGTTCCTAGAACGAGTGGATGCCATTGGGCTACACTAGCACACGACAGGGATGAATGGATACTTTACTGGCACCTGCACAAGCAAATCGATGAGTAATGGGATGTCAAGTGATCAAGTGATTAAAGTATATTTTCTTAAATATAATTGTCATTTAAGAAATTTAGTAGACCTCTTAAAAACAGTAGACATCTTCAAATGTATTAACTTGTATGGGCAAGCATATGGGAACACCAGGTTCAGTTGATTCCTAACGATGCACAGGGGTCCCCCAAATACCCTGATCTCCTACAAGTATGGTCCAAAATACATACAACTGGTTCTTTACAAATGGAAATTTTTTTGTTTTGTTTCTGTATTTTAATGATATGTATGTTGATCCTTGAAATTATCTCAATTGTATATCCACTTCATTTGTGCAAAATAACTTCTCTCACACACAACAATATAAGTGCTTTCTTAAGAGTCTGAAGTAGTGCAGGCTAAAAGATAACTACTAGTATAATATTTTAAAAAGTCATGAGTGGGGCTTGAGTGGTAGCACAGCAGGTAGGGTATTTCCCTTGCACACAGCTGACCTGGGTTTGATTCCCAGAATCCCACATGGTCCCCTGAGCACCACCAGGAGTAACTCCTGAGTGCAGAGCCAGGAGTAATCCCTGAGCATCGCCAGGTGTGACCCAATACACCCCCCCCAAAAAAAAAGGTCATAAGTTACTTCTTCCAAAACAGTATGAAATTCTGTTTAACCAAAGCTATTTAAGTGTTCTTTCCTTTATTTTATAAATCAAAGAAATTTTCTCATATATATTTTAATAATTTTGGGTGCATACAGTTGCTTTAATGTATATATTTATTTTCAATGAAGATAACATTTTACCTGAATTCTTATTTTAAGCTTCTAGGAGCCAATGGAAATGTAAACATCAATTCAAAACTCCGTTTGCAGCTGTTTTACCCACCTCCTAAGCCTAGATCCCAATCAAGTGTTGTTGAGGTTTTTGACTGGTGGTCAAAATGTTCAAGAAATCGTTACCCTTCAACACTGTATGTAACAGTAAGAGGACTCAAAGTTCCAGAATGTGTAAGTTAATAGCACATTAACATTAAGTGCATCTTCTGTGTCACTAAAATTAAATAGTGATTTATTTTACATTTCTGAAAAGATTAACTCTAGATTTATTTTTTAATACTTTCCCCTAGATTTATTTTAATAAATTTGTAGAGAGGAGACTACCTTAAAGCTATTAAGCCTGTAATAGCTGATACTTTAAAGATACTTAATTGGATTTTAAGTTTTAAATATAGGTTTTGATGTTAAATAAAAATGCTATTTAATTATACCCTTTTTTTAAAAGCTAAATATAAAGGAATAAGTTAAAGTAGCTGTTCACAAATATTTTCCCTAAAGTATGAAATTTTAAATAATCTTGGGCTTTATAAGCCATATAATCTTTTCCCCCATTTTTATTGAGATAATTGTGATTTACAATACTGTTTAACATCCCTTGTACCAGCTCTATACCCACTTTCAAAGGTACCTGCTTTTATCCACCAGATGTCCCCTGTACCCCTTCTATCCACTTATCTGAAGGATAAGTGGATAAATACTATGTTATCTGAAGGATAAATAACATAAATACTATGTTATCTGAAGGATAAGTGGATAGAAGGGGCAGATAAACTCTGCAATTATGTTTTGTTTCATCATTTGTTACTTACTCCACTACATTGATATCCCACATATGAGAGACATCATCCTTTATCTATCTATTCTCTTTGTTTGATTGATGTCACTTAGTATGATACTCTATGGTTCCGTCCACTTAGCAGTAAATTGCATGATTTCATCTTTTCTTATAGCTACATAATATCCCATTGTCTATACATATACCGTAACTTCTTGATCTTTCACTCACCACACATTTGGGTGTTTCTGTAGCCCATATCAGCCAGGAAATGAACTAATTAACATCTCCTTTGTAGCATGAAAATTACTACTGATACAACTAGGTGATAACTAAATGGATAATTTTAATCCTTTACAAAATTAATCCTTTACAAAATGTGGCAGGATAGATTTGACAAATAGATGACAAATTCTTGATTTTTAGCAATTTTTTATAATACTATTCAAATAATTCTAATATTTTCTTTGCTACTACCACCTTTCATAGGTTAAAATTACAAATGTTCTTCTTAGCAAAGAGTTGGTAATAAAAATGATTGGAAACTTTTGCCATTGTCTTATTTACTTAAGTTATTTAAAATCAGTTGCATTCCCATACTATATGTAATAAACTAGCCACAGGGATTTAAATTATGTTAAATCTGTTTTTAAGAAATAAAATATGTAAAGGAATCTTAATAATGCCAACTTCATGATTTTAAAGTCAGCTATACCTTATTAAAGTCATGATACAGTATCTGGTAGTATTGGTAAAGAGGCAAAAATGAATGAAATACTGAAATAATTTTTTGTAAGCCATGGAATTTTTTCCTCATAAAATTTGTAACTTTGGTGATAGGACTATAATTTCAAACGACTTTAATTTCATTTAAAATTGTGTGTAAATATATTTTTCTCGGTTATATTTGAAAACTTTTGCTCATAGTTATGCTTTTTGCTAATTGCTAGCAAAGGTAAAAAGATTAACAAGATGAATAAATTTTTTTCATTTTCTTTATATATCTAGATAAAACCATCTTACCGGTCTATGATGGCTCTTCAGGAAGAAACAGGAAACTCAGGACACTGTGAACGTCTCCGTGAGTCAAATTCAGTAGTCTTAGAACCTGGATTAGAAGATTCAAAGGAAGTAGTAGAGTGGAAGCGATTGCCTGGACAGGTGACGTGTTGAATTTTGCTCCATTCAGTTAGATAATGCCTTATTTAGAAAATTCCAGCTCCTGGTATAACTAGATTTCTGTTCTCAGATTATACTTGTTTCTTACCACAATCTTATTACCATTAATTCATTGATGAATGATAGAATGCCTATCAAGTACATAAAAGCACTATCTTTAGTTCATTGTTTGGGAACTTGGGCAAGTCTATTAGTTTGCTAGGGGTGACATAAAAAAATACTACAGAATGAATTGTTTAAGCAATATAAATTAATTTTCTCACAGTTCTCAAGGTTGCAAGTTTCAATAGCAATGTTTCAGTAGGGCTGATTACATCTGAAGCCTTCTTCTTGCCTGGCAGATGGTGGCATGTTGCTACCTCTTCATGGTGTTTTTGTTCTTCCTGGCCTTTTTGATCTGTATGTTACTGATGGATTCTCTTTCTAAAAGAACACCATTCTTACCAGTCTTGTCTTTAAAGTTATACTTTTCTCCTCTGCAAAGTCACAGTAAAGGAACTATCAAAATAAAATTTTACTACCCTAATTGAAATTGACAACTAGTCTTCATTTTTAATTTTTACTATTTAAATCTATTTTAGACTTGTCGTATCCCCAACAAGCACCTTTTTTCACTAAAGGCAGGAGAACGAGGATGTTTTTGTCTTGCATTCTCCCACAATGGAAGAATATTAGCATCGGCCTGTGCCAGCCGGGATGGATATCCAATTATTTGTAAGTAATTCTCCCTTAGATTCAATTAATTTTAGAATATACAGTGAACATTTGTTTTTTAAAGTTAATTAAAATATTTAGTTAGCCCTACTACCACAATAGAAGACAGGAGATTTTTTTAAGTTAACTTGCAATTCTTTTAGTATATGCATTTAAATATGTTTTATTAAGTTAAATAAGAAGGGTCAAGTGAAGAATAGTAAATTTTTAAAAAAAATTGTAAGAAGACTTTTGTAACTTTCACATTTTAAGTATATAAATTTTTTAAACAAAATAATTGATAAATTGCATGAGAGATTTTAGTTCAATGTGGTCAATTAGTAGCAGTCATAATTTAAATTGTGAAAACTCAGGAGAATCTAGATGAAGACTTATTATATAGAAGTAGGTAGAGGTCTTGGGAACCAGTCTCTCATTGCTCTGAACAATATAGGAAGTCATGTTAAAAAGGTAAATTTATTGCTGTACATCTTGAGGTTTTATTTTTGTTTTGAGGGGTTTATAGTTTGCTTTTTTTATGTATTGTCATACTTATCTAAACTTATAGGCATTAAATTCCTATCCTTTGTTCTTATTCATTAACAGAATTCGATTTACCTCAGCAGGAAATAACTAACTTCTCAATTAGTGTCTCTCTTAAGGATTGGAATGTATTAAAATGCCCTTAGCTTCACCCAGTTTGTTATTTCTTAATAGACTTAGAGAGTTGGGTGTGTATGGGCAGAGAATTACAATTTGCTTGATTAGCAATTATTAAATATTCCTTCTCCTTAAATACTATGTTTTTCTTCTTTGTTTGCTTCCATCTGTGCTTAGGGTTTGTTCTTGGCTCTATGGTCAGAAGTGCACCCTGGCAGTGGTTGTGGGTCCGAATGTGGTAATTGATATTGAACCATTGTGTGTGAAGGGGATACAGGCAAACTCCTGAACCCCTGTATTATTTATCTAGCCCAGTTTTAAAAAATATAAAAATTATTATCTATTTTGGTGATGATTATTCTCTTTTAAAAAGTCACCAAAACCTATGCACAGGAGAAACGATTCTTAGTATCCTCCTTAATAGAGGTTTTTTTCTTTATGACAATGAAGTAATTGTTTTTACTTTGATTTATGTTTCAATATTTATTTAATAAATATGTTACTCTGTGCCTAAAAGGTCTAATTAAAATTTTATGTAAGTTTAGTATGCTATTACTTAACCGTTTTTCAAGAAAAATCATCATCTTTTGCTTTTTCATTGTTTAGTACATGTTATTTGGAATCAGTTTAGTTTGTTGAATGTGTAAATAATAGTTTTCACAAATTTGAATGTTTTCTTTGTTTCTTTAAATTGTGTTTGGTCTCTTGGCCTTGGATTGCAAATCTGAGGTTACCAAACTGAGGGGAGATGGATGAGGGGGGGAAATAAAGCGGTTGATAGAAGTAACTAAAGATATTGGTCGAAGGTGATAGGATCCAGTAACTCTGTACATCAGTACCATAAATGTCAACACTATTGTAACCATGTTACCTAAACTAAGTAAAATTAAATTAAAGAAAAGAAGATTTTAGGATCCAGAGAATTGAAGGTAGGGCATTTGCCTTGCATGAGGCTGACCAGTTTGTTCCTTTGCACCCTATATGTTCCCCTGAACCCACCAGAAGTTATCCCTGAGTGCAGAGCCAGGAGTAAGCCCTGAGCACTGCTGGGGGGTGCCCCCAAGTAAGAAGAACCAAGGGTTTTCTGAAGAGGTAAAGAATGGGGCCTACTCCTAGCAAAACAGCCAACAGCGCAGGCCCGTTGGTTTGGTGTCTAGGCCCAGCCATGCCAGGCTGCTCAAGCCTGCAGTGCTGGAACTTCCTGGGCACATTGAGCAGTGTTTGACTTTCCTGAGGCGATTGACTTTTAGGGCTACTTTGGAGCTTGGGAAAGTGAAATGGGAACAGGACAAATTCAAACATCACAGTTCAGTATTTTTATTGAAATTCAGCTGATTTTCTTAAATAAACAGCCCTCAGATTGTTCCAAGATTTTGCTTAGTTTCAAGAGTCCTTAAATATTTAAATCTGATCATCTTTTTCTAGTGTTCTCATTGATTTTATGGAGGAATTACTTATTTGACCAACCTGGAAGAATTTCTAAGGGCACTAGGTTTGACCACTAGGGGATGGTAGAGACTTGCAAATGTCCATAAGAAGGGATTAATCTACACTTCATTGTATAGATAGCAATATAATATAATACCTTGTTTATTAGATTGGATCTCTATTAATTTTGTTAGTCTCTATCACTTTAGTACTAGAAATTTTCCTCTAACAAAACGTAGTTTATATTTTTACTACTTCAGTTATAATTTTGATTGAAATTTAGCTGTATGTATGTAAAATAATAATTTACTCATGAAAGCCCAAATTATAGAATCTTTGAATTGAAGTGGTTTCATTATTATTAATAAATTATCAAAAATTTAAATTTCAGGGCTGGAGTGATAGCATAGTGGGTAGGGCATTTGCCTTGCACATGGCCACCTCCATGTTCGATTCCCAGAATCTCATATATCCACTGAGCACTGCCAGGGGTAATTCCTGAGTGCAGAGCCAGGAGTAACCTCTGTGCATCGCCAAGTGTGACCCAAAAATAAAAAAAAAATTAAATTTCTTTGAAGTAGGTAAGAATAATTGTTAATTATAGCATTGTATAAAATTTTAGATGTGTGTCATCTGTGTTCAAATCAAATGAAAATATTCTTAAGTAGCTTTTGAAATAAACTGCAAGTGACTTTGTTGATAAAATTCTTGTAGGCATACTAACCTCATATGCATATAATAATATGAATTTTATATTAATATAAATAATGAATTTGTAAGTAAAGGATGAAGTAACATTTGATTGGAAGTTACTGAATTTTTAATATTTTCATTAGTGTATGAAATACCTTCTGGACGTTTCATGAGAGAATTGTGTGGTCACCTCAATATCATTTATGATCTTTGCTGGTCAAAAGATGATCGCTATATCCTTACTGCATCATCTGATGGCACTGCCAGGTTAGTATACTCAGGACGTACTTACTTTGCATGCTGGTTGCTACCATGGTAAAGAGTTATAAAGTTATAAAACTATGTTATGTTTATCAGAGAAGTGTCAGAAATATGCACAATATCGACTTAAAAAGTGGTGAAAACATTTTTGAAATGTTTATAAAATTTGTAAAGGTAAAGGTGAAGGCCCTCCCGTTGTTCATTGATTTGCTCGAGCGGGCCCAGTAACGTCTCCATTGGAGACTTTGTTGTTACTGTGTCTGGCATACCGAATACGTCACAGGGAACTTGCCAGGCTCTGCCATGCGGGCGAGATACTCTCAGTACTTTGCCGGGCTCTCCGAGAGGGGCGGAGGAATCGAACTCGGGTCGGCCATGTTGGCTGTGTGCAAGGCAAACGCCCTACCGCTGTGCTATCGCTCCAGCGCCAATAAAATAAAATTTGTATCATGATTATATAGTTCAAAATGCTCCTATTAATCCTATTTAAAGGATTATATAGTCCTTTAAATAGTCATACTGTTCATTTTGTACTTCAAGATGGAGCTAATAACGAAGTATTTTTTGGCATTAAGAATCAAATCCAGGCTCCAGCCCTTTGAACTGTCTCCCTGGCTGTACTTTTTGTTTCAAGATCTTTATAGATAATCAGTTACTTTCAGAATCTGTTTTAAAATAATTTAGTTTCTTACAACTTTATGAGGATCACAACAAAATAGTTTTTCAAAGCCACTTTATAAAGTTTCATTTACACTTGTTATTTTAGTTGCTTATTCTGTCTCACATGTATTATTTAAAAAATACTAATTTTTAAAGATGCCATTGTAATATATAATTTAGCTTTATTCTATCGAATATTAAGTATGTGTGTATATTTAATGCAAATTTATTATGTCTTTGGACTAAGGAAAAAATCTTTGGAGCAGTTTGAGACCCACTCTCATTTTGCTTTGATGCTTTCTCATTTAATACACTTTAACAGTTTGGATTCCCTCTACTAATCCTGTTGACTCTCTTTCTAGTATAAAATGTCTTGCCAATTAACTGATGTTTAGTCTATGTTAAAATAAAAAACATGGCCATCAGTGACAGTTGACTCCCTCGCTATCTAACTTGGTACCTACTATTGGTACTTCTTAATGATATCCTTAAAACCCTGGTTCTTTGTTCCTTCCAGCATAACTCTTCTGTCTGATGCCAGGTTATTCCAGGGAAACACGTAGCTTTACTAAGGCCTAACTAGATTTGCAAGTCTTTTTGGTTTGGCGCCATATCTGGCAGTGCTCAGGGGTCACTCCCGACTCTGCACTCAGTAATCACTACTGATGGTACTTGAGGGACCATATGAGAAGCTGAATCAGCTATGTGCAAAGCAAGCACCTTATCTGCTGTACTATCTCTCTACCCTTGGATCTGCAAGTCTCAAAATAATATGAGTTCTCTGCTGAAGTATATGTTTTTCTTACCTTTACTCATTCCTCTAACAGTGGATACAAACTTTTCCATTACTTCAAGTTCTCTCCATAAAATTATAGTCTTCCCACTTTCTTCAGATGTTTAATCATTAGTAACATTTATCCATATCCATACTTTTCTATGGTTACTCCCTAGTGTCTATAAATTTGTCTATTTTTCTCTTTCTAGCTCTCCCACTAAAAACATATGGAGGCATACACACCTTTAAAGTATCTGTGTTTTTAATCTGATTCCTATCATGTATAATTTTTACATTTTCTATCCATCTGGTCTTTTAAATAAATCTTTCTATAAATTCTTTCCTGCTATCTTATAATACTTTTAGAGTCTTTATTAACAACTTCTTGTGTTTGTTTTCATGGCTCTGATTAATTCTCTGTTTCATTATTTTACCTTGTCTATTCTCCGTAAGTGCTTATCCCAGGAATCCTTTTCATTTGGATTTCTTTCTCATTCGTTTTCTTTTATCTATATACCTGTGTTTATTCCACCATGTCCTTTATTTACTCTTCTCTCATGATATGGAGTGCTTATTCAAGTTTTGTTTATTTTTCTCCTTTTTTGAACTCAGTTACATGGTAACTATGCTAATGCACAACGGTAGGGCATTCGCCTTACAAGCGGCCAACATGGCCGACCCGAGTTCGATTCCTCCGCCCCTCTCGGAGAGCCCGGCAAGCTACCGAGAGTATCTCGCCCTCACGGCAGAGCCTGGCAAGCTCCCCGTGACGTATTCGATATGCCAAACACAGTAACAACAAGTCTCACGATGGAGATGTTACTGGGCCCGCTCGAGCAAATCGATGATCAACGGGAGGGCCTTTACTTTGGGGCTGGAGCGATAGCACAGCGGGTAGGGCGTTTGCCTTGCACGCGGCCAACATGGCCGACCCGAGTTCGATTCCTCCGCCCCTCTCGGAGAGCCCGGCAAGCTACCAGGAGTATTTAATATGCCAGACACAGTAACAACAAAATCTCCAATGGAGACGTTACTGGGCCCGCTCGAGCAAATATATAACATGCATATGTAATATAGGTATATGTAGATATATCCATATATATCTATATATGTGCATATATATACATATATATTTATACACTCATATATATGTGTATATATATGGGCTAGAGCGATAGCACAGCAGTAGGGCGTTTGCCTTGCATTTGGCTGACCTAGCTGACTCAGGTTTGATTCCTCCGCCCCTTTCCGGAGAGCCCAGCAAGGTACTGAGAGTATCTCTCCCGCATGTCAGAGCCTGGCAAGCTACCCATGATGTATTTGATATGCCAAACACAGTAACAACAAGTCTCACGATGGAGACATTTCTGGGCCCGCTAGAGCAAATTGATGAATAACAGGACAGTGACAGTGACAGTGTGTCATATATATGTGTGTGTATATATATATATATAAAACGATATAACGGTATTCACATCAACTCTTACTCCCATGCTGGGAACTCATTTTCTGTTTCCTTAATTCATTTCCTAAGTACTAGTCAGGTTTGTCAAAAATACTTCCTAATTGTATCACCATTCAATCATATGCATACTATTCCATGCTGGGAACTCATTTCCTGTTTCCTTAATTCATTTCCTAAGTAGTAGTCAGGTTTGTCAAAAATACTTTCTAATTGTATCACCATTCAATCATATGCATACTATTCCCAGTGTTGTTGCTTTTGTTTAAGGTCTTGTTTTTGCTTGCTTAAACTGTTGCTAAACTATTCCCACTGGTTAAGTCTGCAACTTCTCCAGTCCTGATGTGCTGAAATCATCTCTCCAGAATCATCTTTCATAATCCCTTGGTTTAAAAAAAAAACCTTTGATAATCCATTGCATTTTGAAAATCTTCCAGTTCGTTAGCATGACGTGACAAGCATGTCCTTCATTGATCTTATTTCACTGACCTAAGTTCTTGCACTTCTTATGTATCCTTTTGTCTCACCCACACGATCTTTTGAAATATACTTAACATTTATCTTCTTTGGGATCTCCATACCCTGTTACCTTACTCATCCTGTGTTCAGTTGCCCTTTTCCTACATTTTCTGCCTAACTCATTCATTTAATTACGTTTAAATGAATGTGTGTGAGAGTTATTGTGAGCTTCTAATAAACGTTTAAAACCTAGATTTTGCCATTTCTTGTAGCCATGTTGGATTTTATCATATAATACTTGGAGAGTATGGATTTATAATTAAGTTGGAAATAGATACTAATTTAGCACTTGTTGCCTCATAAAAAATATGTGTTGTGAAAGGACTGAGTGAAGTGAGCAGAACAAAAATGTAGCTAGAATAAAATAGGTGTTTGAAAGAGGTGAGAAATACTTTTAACAGAGTCAAAATGAAGAGATAAGAGTTGGTAATATTCCCAAAAGGCAGAAGTATGGATTTCTACCCTTGTCTTCACTGTCTTCTGGAGCTCATTCCTGCATGTTACTCTTAGTGTCTGCTAAATATGTATTTCCCACTCCTTAACTTTCTGCCATGTGACGTTTTTCGTAAGTCTCACTGTTACATATTACTCTTAAGTATTCGCTAAATAAGTATTTCCCAATAGTTCACTCTCAGCAGTGTGACTTTTTCTTAAATATCCTTAAGTTATCTTCAGAAAAACTGGGTTTTTCTCAAATCAGCTACTCCATACATAAAATGAAAGGCCCTTTCATGTATAATGGCTCCCAAATAGGCCTCTCAATCTCTAGACTATCTACTCTTCACATATACTATTTTAACATTGGTAAGTTTTTCTATTCTAGTTCTCATATATTTTTTATGTTTTCATGTAATCTTTACGAATTTGAGTGTCCTTGTTCTTCTCTGTGATTAGTTTTGATTTTTTCCTAAACCAAGTAATACCCATCTTATTTTAGATTCTTCCTTTGCTTGGGTGACTAAAATCATCATTAATATCATTTTTTTACATTAAAATCTTCATATTTATTTATAAGTATTGTAGCACTGTGCTCCCATTGTTCATCAATTTGCTCGAGTGGGCACCAGTAACGTCTCCATTATGAGATACAATAAGTATTGTAACTATTTTAATTATATTAATCTCTTTTAGGATATAATTTCTTTCTGTCTTTTATGTATTATTTCAAATACTGCTAAGATTTTATAGGAAGTAACTAAAATTTTTTTAGCATCTTATATTCCCTCCAAATTGATGATTTTATTCTTTCATTAAATACTATATTTCATATCATCTGTTCTTTGAAAGCACTGACATGATAAAAATGTTTATGCAGTGACACACTTGCTGTATTTTTACTTAAAAACATGTTCTTTCACTTCTTCATTATTAGTTTGGATTCTTAGTAATTGAGGATCATTCATTCATTCATTCATCATCCTGTTATTCGTCGATTGCCTCGAGCAGGCCCCAGTAACGTCTCTTTCATCCTAGCCCTGAGATTATATTCAAGGCTCTTTAGGAGAATGAGACCCATCATTGTTACTGGTATTTGGCATATTTGGTGCGCCACGGGGAGTTTGCCAGACTCTGCCCTGTGGGCAGGCTATATTCGATAGCCTGCAAGTTTGTCCAAAGTAGGAATGAGATAATAAGATATCATAAAAAGATGTCCTGATAAGATGTCGTGCGGCCACATTCGGGTTCCGGTAGCTGGATTTTATAGTCTCTGAGTCTTGGCTGTTGATGGGATTACATGGCGCCAGGGGGCCAGGTGGTGGGTGTGACCCCCGCCTACTGGAATTTGGAGGATCTGGGTGGAGGATGCTCGACTCCAATTCGAGCAGGCTTGGAGATCTCGGCCCAGGAACCCGCGTGGCTTTGTCCCTCTGCCAGTACCTTCATGTGTGTGGAGAGTGGTCTCAGCATGGTGGTTTGAGGATCATATCCTGTATTTTAAGCATCTGCTGGAAAAAAGTCATAGAATGTTTTTCTGAATAGAAACTGATTTTTTTAAATTTTAGTGATAATTTTGAGATGGTCTTAATTTCCAACTTAGTTAATTAAGCAATAATTAAAATAAACTAGGATGTTCTAATACACGTCCCTTGCAACATCCTATGACTGAAACCCAGTCATCAACAACTTTGTAACTATATAAGAGATTAAAAAAAAGAATTAAAAAAATAAAGAATAAACTATAAATTCCACTAGTAAAATTGAAATGTTCTGATTCTAATAACAATCAAACTTTTCAAAGCCCAATGTTCCACACTTATGGAGCTCTTGTTTCTTGCTACATGTTGTCATTTTGGGGAAGATGGGGCAATAGCCTGTTGTGCTCAGGACTTCTTCCTGGCTCTGTCCTCAGGGGTTGCTCCAGGCAGTGCTCAGGGAACCGATGTGGTGCTGGCCATTGAACTCACATTGGCTGCATTCAGAGCAAGCACCTTAACTTATATACTCTTTCTCTAGCCCATATTTTGTCTGTTTTTATACATTGACCAGAAATGCAGTGCATATGACGTAACAGTTTAAACCTTAGGTTACTTTTCTATTATGATTAGAGCAACAGTAACAAAACTTTTCAAATCATTTCTTGAGGAAGAGATAAACAAATTTGTGATTAATGTAGTGTCTTTCAAAATGCCACGATTATTTTAATCAGACTAAGTAACTCATATAATAATTTTAAAATAACTTAAGTCTTTGATGTCTTCATGTTCATATTTAGGCTTTGAAATTATAAGTAAAGATTATAATGGACTATCCCATTCTCTAAACCCCCTGTGCTTTACAAAAGCAATAAACAGACCAGATATTAAGCTATTAGTGTTTCTCCCTGCATTTTATTTTTTATTTACTTTGTGGTAAGTGCAATACTTTATCAAGTATTTAGTGAGTGTTTGACCAATGTCAGAAGAAGGATTAAAAATAGTCAACTGTTTGACTGGCTGGAACAATAGTACAGCGAGTAGAGCGTTTACCTTGCATGAGACCAACTGTGTTCCATCCCAGGCATACTCTATGGTCTCCCAAGTCTTGCAAGGAGTATTTCATGAGCACAGAGCCAGGCATACTCAGCTGAGTACTGCTGAGTGTGACCTCAAAACTAGAAAAAAAATCTAAAACTCTGGTAAAACACAATTTTTCATTTTACAGTTTTATAATTAAACAAATTAACTATTTTGCTTGATAAGAAATAATCAAGATATAATAATTATTTTCTGTAAGAAATAATTTGTCAGAATGTAAAGAAATCCAGCCATCAAACATTTGGACATATTTTTTATTTTTATAAAATATAGTTTAGCACTGGTTGTCATTTATCTATATCCAATTGGTATATTTGGTTTTTAGAATAACTGATGAAATAATCTCAGTAGGAATGTAACTTTTTATCCTTTTCCAGGATATGGAAAAATGAATTAAATAATATAAATACCTTCAGAGTTCTACCTCATCCTTCTTTTGTTTACACGGCTAAATTCCATCCAGCTGTAAAAGACCTGATAGTTACAGGATGCTATGATTCTGTTATACGGATATGGAAAGTTGATGTAAAAGAGGATCCTGCGATACTGCTTCGACAATTTGACACTCACAAGAGTTTCATCAACTCACTCTGTTTTGATATTGATGGTATGTGAAAGAATATCTTCCAAATGAAGGGTAGTTGCATAAGAATGTCGTAAAATTTATTTTCACTAGTTTTATTTATTGGATTGGAGAGATAGCGCAGCTTGTAGAGTATTTGCCTTGCACGCAGCCTACCCGGGTTTGATTCCTTCGTCCCTCTCGGAGAGCCTGGCAAGCTACTGAGAGTATCAATCCCGCCTGCAGAGCCTGACAGGCTCCCTGTGGTGTATTCAATATGCCAAAAACAGTCTCACAATGGAGACGTTATTGGTACCCGCTTGAGCAAATGGATGAAGGACCATAGGACACTGCTACAGTGCTACAGGTTAAATTTATTATGAAAACTTGAGGGATTTTATGTATTAATGATTGTGTATGCATATTGATATTTATATGTATTTGTAATTCTAATAGACCTGAATATTTATTTATAACAGAGTTTTTTTTATAATTTTGAAGTCATTGAGTTACTAAATACTGATAGTTAACTGATTTTATTTACTCATGTTCTGAAGTTCATAGATAAATCTCATTAGCAATTTTTAAGAGTTTTTGAATTCTTTTGTTTGGGGGGCCACACCCTGGGCTTACTTCTGACTTTGAATTCAGAGATTACTCTTGGCAGAGTTTGGGGGATTATATGTGGTGCTGGGGGTTGAGCCAAACCCAGGTCAGCTGTGTGCAAGGCAAGAGCCTGTCCAATATACTAGCTTTCTAGCCCCTGGGAATCTTATACATTAAAAGGAAAAATCAGAATAATGGCAGGAAAATTTTTAATGAATATTGGGTATGTAATTTTTAATTGTAGCAGTATAATCTTTTTATAAATACAAAGACATATAAAAGGGAAATTTGCAATTATTTTAAGGTTGCCTTAGTACATGAATATGGAATGCAAACCGTTCTTTCAGGAACCTTGCCTTCAGACTGGTAGCATGTGAAGAGCCAAGCTGTGCTTTAAAGATATTTGCTTGAGCGGGCACCAGTAACATCTCCATTCATCCCTATAGCATGCTAGTGTAGCCCAATGGCGTCTGCTCCCTCCAGGAACATGAAGAACCTCAAACTGTTCTTTCAGGGTCTTGATGAAGAAGTCTGACCATCTTGTAGGTGGGTGGCCAGGTGTTCTTTTGACGTACCGTGGAATCCAGTTGGTAACAGCTCTAGCCCAGTGGTTGTCTCTGAATTGCATTAAGTGTCCAACCCATATGATTTTCAACACCTTGGCAAACGAGATAGTATCCCTGATTCTGGATCATTGAAGGAGGTCAGAACTCCAGATTCCTTCTCTCACTTGAGTGAAATGTGATACTCCAAGCATAGCTCTTTCATTCCTCTTTGGGAGACCCAAATAGCGTTCTTGTCCTGTTTTCTTAGGGCCCAGGTCTCTGAGGTGTATGTTAGTGCAGGAAGAGCAGTGGAGTTGAAAAGATGTGCCCGGAGCTGGAGGTTCTTCATCCTCTTAACAACTTCTTCATTGCTCTTGAAGGTGTTCCACGCCTCTCTCTTCCTCCTGCGCAGCTCAGGTGCCAGGTTGTTCCTCATGTTGAGTTCTTAACCTAGATACACATAACTGCTGCATTCAGAGATATTCGTTCCATAGAGATTGTATGGAACATCAGGAATGAGTCCATTTCTCTCCTTCACTGCTGGTGGGAATGCAGGCTGGTCCAACCCTTTTGGAAAACAGTATGGACGATTCTCAAAAAGTTAGAATTTGATCTCCCATTTGACCCAGCTATAGCACTCCTGGGAATATATCCCAGAGAGGCAAAAAGGTATAGTCGAAGTGACATCTGCAATTGTTTGTTCATTGCAGCACTCTTTACAATAGCCAGAATCTGGAAAAAACCTGAGTGCCCAAGAACAGATGACTGGTTAAAGAAACTTTTGTACATTTACACAATGGAGTACTATGTAGCTGTTAGAAAAGATGAAGTTATGAAATTTACATACAAGTGGTACTACATGGAAAGTATCATGTTAAGCAAAATGAGTCAGAAAGAGTGGGATAGACGCAGAAAGATTGCATTCATCTGGGGAACATAAAGCAACAGGAATGGCTGAGATTAGTACCAGGAATTTTGCTCCATGACTTGAAGGCCAGCCACATGTGCTAGGTGAAAAGGAAGCTCAGATAGAGAAGAGAGCACCAAATAAAGGGTGCTGTGAAGACCCTCCCAGGGTGGGAGAGACATGCTAAAAGTAGTCTATAGACCAAACATGATTGCCACTCAATGCCTCTCTTGCAAAACACAGTACCCAAAAGTAGAGAGAGAGAACAACGGGAAATGCCCTGCTACAGCGGCAGGGTGGTATGGGGGGGATGGGGGGTGGGAGGGATGCTAGGACCCGTGGTGGGGGAGGATGGGCACTGGTGGAGGGATGGGTACTTGATCATTGTATAACTGAAACCCAAGCACAAAAATTTATAAGTCTATAACTGTACCTCATGGTGTTTCACTAATAAAAAAAATGATAAAAAAAAATATTGTCTTCATGAGATTCAGCTGCAGTCCAACCTTTCCTCACTCATGGTCGAAGTCGGCCAGAATTCATCTGGCTTGGCTGATATTTGGTGTTATTAGAACAATGTTATCAGTGAAGTGAAGGTGGTGTAGTTGCTGACCTTCTGTCTTCACTCCCATTCCTTCCCATTCCAGCCATTATATGACATTCTTGAGGGTGGCACTGAAGAGTTTCGGTGAAATGGTATTGCCCTGCCAAACCCCTCTCTTGACATCGATAATCACTTCCTTGTAGAATGGTGAGATCCTAGTGGTGAATCATAATACATCTCATAGAGGATCCTGATATACTGAGTTTGAATGCCCTGTTTGGCTAGGGCTTCAATGACTGCTTCAGTATCCACAGAATTAAAGGCCTTCTTTACATCAATGAACGTTAGACAGAGCGGCATCTTGAACTTTTGTGACACCTCAATGAGCTTGGTCACCGTATGGATATGTTCAATTGTGCTGGATCCTTTTCAGAAACTGACTTGCTTGCATGGTTTTCCTTTGTCTAGTGTTTTGCCAATCCTATTCAGGATGACTAGAGTTAATAACTGTAGATGATGGACAATAGGCAGTTCAGGTGATAGTTGCTGATGTCGTGCATGTTTCCCTTCTTGTAAAACAGAATGGTCCTGCTGGTTTTCCTTTGGGATGGAACCTTGCATTCAGACTGGTAGCATGTGAAGAGCCAAGCCAGTGTATTGATGAATGAATACTGGCGGCAGATTCTTCAGGTGTTCGGGTCTGACCTTGTCTGGAACAGGTGCTATACACATCTTTACTGACGAAATAGGGTGTCGTATTTTGGAAGGGAGAATGCTGAGAACAACATATCCATCCTGCAGAATTTGGTATGAGCAGGTGGACGTGTCTATCGAAGAGATCTGAGTAGAAGTCATGGATAATCTTTTCCATTGCTCTTCTGTAAGATGTGATAGATCCATCAGGACGTCAGAGGCAGTCATCTTGGTCTTATAGTTGGTGAAGGACAGGTGGTGGGCATTGAAAATATTTTTCCCAGCTTCTGCCACATCTGCCAACACAGCTGTTCTTCTCTCTTTGAGGTCTCCCTTTATTGCTTCTTTGCACAGCTTTGTGAGATCGGATGTGAGCTTCTGCTTGCCTGAGGCTCAAGCCAAACCATGTTGGTGAATGAGCTTGAGAGTTTCTGAAGACAGACATCTTTTTGTGGTTTTCTCTCTCTCGGTGTTCCTTGCACAATCATGGAGGTGCTGAACCAGTTGATTGTATTCTTTGTCGATGTTGTCAATGATGGCATCTTCCCATATTTCGCAGTAGTGTCAAAGAGTTCCCAGTTGGTGGTTGTTCTAGGAGTTCTATTCTTAAACTTTGCAGCCCTTTCTCCCTGATTTGTGAAGTAGAATTTTGCACAAAGGAGATGCTGGTCTGATCCTGTTTGGAATTTTGGAACAACAGTGACATCGGTCAGGCAAAACCATAGATTGAATATGATGCTGTCAATTTCGTTGGTTCACTGCCTCATCGTGGTGAGGGGGTGACAACGGTGCCAAGCGGTGAAGAGTGAACCCACATGCCACCCACACTGCAGAGCCTGGCAAGCTCCCTGTGGCGTATTCACTATGCCAAAAACAGTAACAAAAATGGGTCTCATTCCCTGACCCTGGAAGAGCCCCCAGTACAGCAGCGTTGAGAAGGATGAGCAAGGAGAGGCTGCTAAGATCTCAGGGCCGAACTAGTCTGCCAAAACTAAGAAGGACTAAAATGACTGTCTGCATTTTTATTGCACATATGCTGGCATCGGAAGCATCCATTGAGGACCTGATGGTGCAAGCATGGAAGATCCAGTACGACATCATTGGATTGTCCGAGACAAGAAGGCATCAGTCACATCACACTGTTTTTGACACTGGAGAAGAACTGTTCCTCGGTACATGCAACAGTAGAGGCATCGGTGGTTTCAGTGTCCTCATCAACACGAACTTGGCCAGAGCATTGATTCGTTTGAATGCCTAACAACCCAAATCGAATACTTAACTCTGAATATATGTGGCTCATTGCCGGCAGTTTCTATCTCTGTTGTCTATGCACCAACATCCAACTATGACAAAGAAGAAATTGAGAAATTTTACATAGGGCTGGAGAAGTTCTATAAAAAAGACCACATATTCTACAAGGTCATTGTTGGTTATTTTAACTCCAATATAGGACTGAGAAGATTGCCTGAAGAACTGCACATCTGGATCCATGGCCTAGAATGGAAAGAACAGAGTGAGAGACTGTGTGAGTTCATCATGTTGACCAAAACCAGCCATGGTAACTCGCAATTCTAGAAGGCCAAATCTAAATGTTGGACAGGAGAGTCTCCTGGTGGACAGTTCCACAACGAAATTGACCAAAGATATAAATATAGATTATTTTATCAGAAGAAAGAATACGTAAACCATTAATCAGTTTTTACCCTATTTTAGAGATGAGGTGAGCTATAGCCTATGCTATAATAAATCGGTATAACATTAGAAGATGATATTACTAATGTACTCAGTTTCAATTCCAGTGATATTAGTAAATTGGAACATGCCCAATAAAAATAAACCAAGAATAGTAAGGTGTCTAAAGATTGTCTTACATCATAGAAGTAGCTTAGGTGAAAAAAGGGAGATGAATGGTTTCTTCCTATTTTGGGATATATTATATCCATATACACAAAAAAGAAATTAATATGTTTCACTCCAATAAGTAGAAATAGGGACAAAACTGCAAGTGTGTGTGTGTATGTATATATATATGCATACATATATATTTGTTCAGAATTAGAACTTTCTAATGCATTGAACAGTTCATCACTTGCATAAGTTGCTTTTATAGTTGCTGAATAACCATCTGTTGGTAATGGTGTTTAAGCTATTCCTAAGTGGTGTGATGTTAACTTGATGGGATCTCCATGGTTACATTCTGCTGTGAGATGGTTTGAGTCTAAGAATTGGTGTTAAATTGAAACATCTATTATTTTTCTATTCCCTGATCTCTTACTGAACTCCTAAAAGGTCTAACCATTGTGTATATAGTTAATAAAGATGAGAAATGTAAATGCATATTGAATAATGGAAGCTTATTTTTTGTTTTGGTTTTGTGTTTAGTTTTTGCCATACTTGTTTATGTTTAAGGGCTTATTCCTTGCTCTGCATTCAGGGATCCCTCCTGGTGGTTTTGGCGGCCAGGCCAAAAAAATTGGGTGCCAAGGGTTGAACTCGGGTTCATTGCATGCAACGCAAGTTCCTTGCCACTATACTATCCTCTGGCACCAATTTGTTTAAATTTGGAATTTAAAGCACATCTATGCACTGAGATGCTCAATTACTTTTCAGTGGAGTAAAATTTTCATTCAGGTATAACTGAGATTTGCTTGTGAAGTTTGTGCTTTTGAATGCCCTTTTAAAACTTAAATACTTTTGTGTTGCTGTTTGTTTTGCCACACCTGCTGTACTCAGTGCTTGACTCTTGGCCCTGTGGTCAAGGATCAATCCTGGAACACTTGGGTGGAAATATGGGGTGCTGAGGATTGAACTTGAGTCAACTACATATAGAGCAAGTTACTTACCAACTGTATTATCTCTCTGGCCTCCCAAAACTTAGGTACTTTTAATAGCATTCTGATTCTCTGTTTACTGGAATGAACTTTCCCATCTGAAAATTTGTATTTCATCTTTTAAAATAGGTCATCATATGTACTCAGGAGATTGCACAGGAGTGATTATTGTTTGGAATACCAATGTCAAAGTTAATGATGTGCAGCATTCAGTGCGTCACTGGACTATAAATAAGGTATTAATACAGTTATTCAGATTTTGGTATTTAATCAATGAGTTTGAACATAAGAGCCAGAACACATAACTTTAAAAATAAAATTCTTAGCACTTGTTTCTCTCTTTTTTTGAAAAAGAAAATTAACTTTTCCTTAACCTCTGTGAAATCAGGTTTTATTGATTGATTATTTAATTTCTTGATAAATTTATTATATAGGAACTTAAGGAAAACTTTGTACATTTTGACAAGATTTTACTTCCATTTTTTGAGCCCTAATTTGTACTGTCACTCAGTGATACATAACTAAATTTTTATTATAGCAGAGTATACTTTACCATCTGTAAATCATATCTTTTCTTCCACAGATTTCCTATTTTCTTTTTTGCCCTAATCATATTCCTCTAAGAACTGGCTAGTGTTTGTTAATAGGACTACATTTCAAACCTACATAATTATGAGAGATTATTTAAATGCATTAATTATTTCATTTGGAATTTGCTAATTAGAAACAAATGAAAAAACTTTTTTTGATTTTTTTATTAGTGAAACACCATGAGGTACAGTTGTTGACTTACGAATTTTTTGCTTGGGTTTCAATTATACAATGATCAAGTACCCAACCCTCCACCAGTGCCCATTTTCCACCACCACAGATCCCAGTATCCCTCACACACTCCCATCCACCACCACCCCCCGTCCCTCCCTGTCTCTGTGGCAGGGCATTCCATTTTGTTCTCTATCTCCTTTTGGGTGCTGTGGTTTGCAAAAGAGGCATTGATTGGCAATCATGTTTGGTCTATAGTCTACTTTCAGCATGCTTCTCCCATCCTGGGAGGATCCTCCCAACACCCTTTATTTGGTGCTCTCTTCTCTATCTGAGCTGCCTTTTCCTCTAGCATATGTGGCTGGCCTCCAAGCCATGGAGTAAACCTCCTGGTACTTATCTCGGCTATTCTTGGGTGTTAGTCTGCTATTTTGTTACTTTATGTTCCCTAGATGAATGCAGTCTTTCTACCTCTGTCCCTCTCTTTCTGACTCATTTCGCTTAGCATGATACTTTCCATGTAGTACCACTTGTATGTAAATTTCATGACTTCATCTTTCCTAACAGCTACATAGTACTTCATTGTATAGATATACCAAAGTTTCTTTAACCAGTCATCTGTTCTCGGGCACTCGTTTTTTTTTCCAGATTCTGGCTATTGTAAAGAGTGCTGCAATGAACAAACAAGTGCAGATGTCACTTCGACTATACTTTTTTGCTTTTCCGGGGTATATTCCCAGAAGTGGTATTGCTGGGTCAAATGGGAGCTCAATTTCTAATTTTTTGAGAATCATCCATACTGTTCTACAAAAGGGCTGAACCGGTTGGCATTCCCACCAACAGTGAAGAAGGGTCCCTTTTTCGCCAAATCTGCACCAGCACCAGTTGCTTTTGTTCTTTTAGATGTGGGCTAGTCTCTCTGATGAGAGATGATATCTCATTGTTGTTTTGATCTGCATCTCCCTGATGGTTAATGATGTAGAGCATTTTCTCATGTGCCTTTTGCCATTCGGATTTTTTCTTTGAGAAAGTTTCTTTTCATTTTATCGCCCCATTTTTTGATGGGGTTGGATGTTTTCTTCTTGTGGAGTTCAACCAGTACTTTGTATATCCTTGATATCAACCTTTTGTTGGATGTGTATTGGGCGAATATCCTTTCCCATTCTGTCTTTGTATTTTGGTCACTGTTTCTTTTGAGGTGTAGAAGCTTCTTAGTTTAAGATAGTCCCATTTGTCTATCTCTGTTTTCACTTGCTTGGCCAGTGGCGTGACATCTTTGAAGATACCATTAGCTTCAATATCATGGAGGGTTTTTACAACTTTGTCTTCAATGTACCTTATGGATTCCAGTCTAATGTTGAGGTCTTTAATCCATTTTGATCTTACTTTTGTACATGGTGTTATGCAGAGATTTGAGCCCATTTTTTTTGCATGTAGCCATCCAGTTTTGCCAGCACAGTTTGTTAAAGAGGCTTTTCTTACTCCACTTCACATTTCTTGCTCCATTATCAAAGATTAGATGATCCATATGAAGGGAGATGTCAGTATATTCAACCCTGTTCCTTTTGTCTGCAGCTTGGACTTTGTTCCAGTACCATTCCGTTTTAATTATTACTTCTTTGTAGTAGAGTTTGAAGTTAGGAGATTGATTCCTCCCATTTTCTTTTTCCCAAGAATTGCTTTCGTTTTTCCTGGGGGCTTATTGTTCCATATGAATTTCAGGAGTGTTTTCTCCATTTCTTTGAAGAATGTCATGGGTATCATTATAGGGATGGCATTGAATTTGAGTCGTTGGATTCTATTTGCTAATAGTTTGTTGAGGATCTTTGCATCTGTGTTCATCAGGGATATTGGCCTGTAATTCTCTTTCTTTGTGGTATCTCTGTCTGCTTTTGGTATCAAGGTGATATTTGCTTCGTAGAAACTGTTCGGAAGTGTTTTTGATATTTCAATTTCGTGGAAAAGTTTAAAAAGGATTGGGAGTAAGTCCTCTTTAAAGATTTGGAAGAATTCACTAGTGAATCCATCTGGGCCAGGGCTTTTGTGCTTGGGGAGACTTTTTATTACCATTTCAATTTCCTTGATGGTGATAGGTCTGTTCAGGTATTCCAGGTCTTCTTGGTTCAGCCTTGGGAGGCTATATGAATCTAGGAATTTATCCATTTCCTCAAGGAGGGCTGGAGCGATAGCACAGCGGTAGGGCGTTCGCCTTACAAGCGGCCAACATGGCCGACCCGAGTTCGATTCCTCCGCCCCTCTCGGAGAGCCCGGCAAGCTACCGAGAGTATTCGATATGCCAGACACAGTAACAACAAAGTCTCCAATGGAGACGTTACTGGGCCCGCTCGAGCAAATCGACGATCAACGGGAGGGCCTTTACTTTTACTTTACTTCATGTTCCGTGGGATAAAGCTTCTCAAAGTACTCCCTGAGGATTCTTTGAATTTCTGTAGTTTCTGTTGCAATGACCCCCTTTTCATTTCTGATTTGGTTTATTAGGATTTTCTCTCTTCCTTTCCTTATGAGTTTTGCTAGAGGCTTATCGATCTTGTTTATTTTCTTAAAGAACCAGCTCTTGGTTTCATTGATCTTTTGGATTGTTTTTTTGGGTTTCCATCTCATTAATCCCTGCTCTGAGTTTTATTGTTTCCTTCCTCCTGTTCGGATTGAGCTCTTTTTGTTGATCCTTCTCCAAGCTCTTAAGCTGTGAGGTTAGGTTACTTATGTGGGCACGCTCCTCCTTCCTGAGGATTGCTTCTAGAGCTATAAACTTTCCTCTTAACACAGCTTTTGCTGTGTCCCATAAGTTTTGGTAACTCGTGTCCTCATTTTCATTTGTTTCCAGGAATGTTTTGATTTCTTCTTTGATTTCCTTTCTAAGCCACTAGTTGTCCAATAGTGAACTGTTTAATTTCCAGGTGTTTGATTTAGATTTCTGTTTTTATGTATAATTTACTTCTAATTTCAGTGCATTATGGTCTGAGAAGATTGTTGATACAATCTCTATCTTCTTAATTTTATGGAGGTATGTTTTGTGGCTCAGCATGTGGTCTATCTTGGAGAATGTTCCATGCACGCTTGAGAAGAATGTGTACTCCGCTTTTTGAGAATGAAGTGTCCTGTATATATCTACTAAGTCCCTTTCTTCCATTGTTTCCCTCAGATGAAGAATGTCCTTGCTAAGCTTGAGTCTGGTTGATCTATCAAGAGGTGATAAAGCATTGTTGAAGTCTCCCACTAGTATTGTGTTGCTATTGATGTCTTTCTCCAAGTCTATGAGTAGTTGTTTTAAATACTTTGCTGGTCCCTCATTAGGTGCATATACATTTAGTACTGTAAGTTCTTCCTATTGTAAAGATCCATTGATCAATAATAAATGACCTTCACTGTCTCTTGTGAACTTCTTCACTCTGAAATCGATGTGGTCTGATATTAGGATGGCTACCCCAGCCTTTTTATGGAAGCTGTTTGCCTGTAGGATTGTTTTCCAGCCTTTGACTCTGAGCCTGTGTTTGCTTTGACTATTGAGATGTGTTTCTTGCAGACAGCAGAATGTTGGGTTCAATTTTCTAATCTATCCTGCCATTCTATCTTTTAATTGGTACGTTTAGCCCATTGACATTGAGAGAGATTATTGTTATGAGGTTTTGTCCCATTTTTCTGTTGAAAGTTGGTGTATTTGAGGGGCCTGTCTTGTCTTAAAGTAGCCCATTTAGTTGTTCTTGTAACCATGATTTTGAGTCTTTGAAGTTCCTGAGCTGTTGTTTGTCTGTGAAACTGTGTTGTTCCTTCTGTTATGAATGAGAGTCTTGCTGGGTAAAGTATTTTTGGTGAGGCATTTATTTCATTGAGTTTTTTCACTATATTCCACCACTGTTTTCGGGCCATGTGGGTTTCATCAGACAAATCAGCTGTGAATTATTATTATTATTATTATTATTTTGCTTTTTTGGATCACACCTGGCGATGCTCAGGGGTTATTCCTGGCTCTGAACTCAGGACTCTCTCCTGGCGGTGCTCAGGGGACCATATAGGATGCTGGGAATTGAACCCGGAGTTGGCCCTGTGCAAGGCAAATGCTCTACCTGCTGTGCTATGTCTCCAGCCCCCAGCTGTGAATTTTAAGGATGCTCCTTTGTAAGAGATTTCTTTCTTCGTTCTTGCTGCTTTCAGAATTTTGTCTCTGTCTAAGATTTTGGTCATTTTGATCAGGATGTGTTTTGGGGTATTTTTATTCGGATTTCTTCTAGCTGGTACCCTTCGGGCTGCCTGAATGTGGTCACAAGTTTTCTTCAGCTCTGGAAACATTGTAGCAATGATGTCTTTGACAGTTTCTTCTTCATCAGAGTTTTCTTCCTGTCCCTCTGGGACTCCAATAATTCTTATGTTACCCCTCTTGGCTTCATTACGATATTCTCTTGTCATCTGTTCCCGAATTGTGAGTCTCTTTTCCATTTTCTGCTCTTTTCTGGAGAGTCTCTGAACTTCATCTTCGAGCTCACAGATTCTGTTCTCAGCCACTGTTACTCTGCTGCTGAGGTCTTCCACTGCGTTTTTCAGTTCGCCTACCAGGTTTTTTAGGTCTGCCGTTTGCATTTTCCTCATTTCTGCCTTCAAATTCCTCTTGTCTTTTATTGGCATTGCTTTCCATTGTTTCTTTTAGCTCCTTAAGCATCCTCAGTAGCTCCCTTCTAAATTCCTTGTCAGAGAGATTGTCTAGAACTTCATTACTATTGGTGTCTTCTGGGCTAGGACCTTCAATAAGTAAGCATGTTGGCCTTCTGCATTGCTTTACCATTGTGACCAGTGTGGTTTAGACCTTCAAGCTCGCTGTTATTATTCTGCTTGAGATGCAGAATGAATTGAGTTGGGCTTAATGAATTATTGGCTAATGTGTTTCTGGTGGTTAAGCTAACCTAGTGAAAGTTCCATGTAAGAGGGTAACTTATGGTTCCTATGGGATATGTAGGAGGAGAATAACATGGCTAACGTGGCCGCAGCTCCGGGAAGGGGCTCTGCCGCCTGGCCAGTACCTGGATGAATGAGGAGAGGCTTCCCGGAAATTTTCGGCTTTGTTTTTGCACAGTGTGCCTCAATTCCTGTCCCACACAGACCAAGGGTGAAAACCAGCGGTTCTCAGGGGATCTTGTTAACCGCACAGGCCGGACGGGTACCTGGATGAATGATTGAAAAAAAAATTTTTAAATAGAGTTGTTTTTAAGGTGGTTTGTATGTAAATCAATTGTTTGTATATATTTTGTACTTTTTAGTTAAAAATACAAATTTATGTTTGTTCATTGCAGCACTCTTTACAATAGCCAGAATCTGGAAAAAACCTGAGTGCCCGAAAACAGATGACTGGTTAAAGAAACTTTGGTACATTTACACAATGGAGTACTATGTAGCCGTTAGAAAAGATGAAGTTATGAAATTTACATACAAGTGGTACTACATGGAAAGTATCATGTTAAGCGAAATGAGTCAGAAAGAGCGGGATAGACACAGAAAGATTGCATTCATCTGGGGAACATAAAGCAACAAAAAGGGAGACTAACACCCAGGAATGGCTGAGATTAGTACCAGGAATTTTGCTCCATGACTTGAAGGCCAGCCACATGTGCTAGGTGAAAAGGAAACTCTGATAGAGAAGAAAGCACCAAATAAAGTGTGTTGTAAGGACCCTCCCGGGGTGGGAGAAGCATGCCGAAAGTAGTCTATATACCAAACATGATTGCCACTCAATGCCTCTCTTGCAAAACACAGTACCCAAAAGAAGAGAAAGAGAACAAGGGGGAATGCCCTGCCACACAGGCAGGGTGGGAGGGGGGAGAATGGGGGGTCGGAGGGATGCTGGGACCCGTGGTGGTGGAGGATGGGCACTGGTGGAGGGATGGGTACTTGATCATTATATTACTGAAACCCAAGCACAGAAATTTATAAGTCTATAACTGTACCTCATGGTGTTTCACTAATAAAAATAAAAAATAAAAAAATTAAAAAATAAAATAAGAAGTTATGGCTAACCTAAAAAAATACAAATTTATTAAACTTGAGGTTGTTTTAAATAAATCTGTATATTTCTTTTACATGCTGCTAGGTTTTCGATCTTTTCTTCTCTAATCTTTTATTATCAGATTACATTGTAACAGTTGTCCTCATTTGAGAGGCACTCTAGTGAAAATGAATTCTATGAATTTTAGTTAAATCTGTTGATTATGTCATATGTTTTAAGAAAGGACTATTCTATTTTTCATCATCTTGCCTATCAGATTTAAAAATGACATCTTGGCGTTTATTTTGTAGTTTTCGTTCACACTCTTTGAGAGAGTTTTCTAATTATTTATGTACCTGAGGGACTGGAAGGACTCCAAGGTTACTCATAGATGTCCTTTGCGTCTACAGTGCTGAGTTTTTATTTGTGTTAAAAAAAACCTAGTGTTTCTTTAGCTTACAATAGTAACACAAAGGCAAATTTACCTCAAAGACCTTTCACTTGGTAATTACTTGACTGTCAAATGAAAATTAGAAAGTGATCTGGTATGTCTATTTATTTATTTATTTATTTGGCTTTTTGGGTCACACCCAATGATGCTCAGAGCTTAACCCAGGCTCTGCACTCTCCTGGAGATGCTCAGGAGATTATATGGGATGCTGGCCATCAGCTGTGTACAAAGCAAATGTTCTGCCTGCTCCAGCCCAGAATGTCTTTTGAACATTAAATGTCCAAGAACAAACCACAGACCGTATTTTCTTACTTGGTTCTCTTCAGCTGACAAAGTCAGAAATCCTAAGTTCTCCTCAGCTTTCCCTTAGGATGGTGTGTTCCTGTGTTTGTGCACATACTCTCTGACACAAGACATGGACTTTTAGTCCAGAACTTTTTTAGTTTCAGCATAAATACAATGAAGGGAAACATAGGAGAACTCCTTAAAATATACTGTAAATAGTAAATCTGCTAGCAACTTTCTCAAACATACACCCATTACTTAAGTCATATTTTAAATCTCCCCTCTCCTTCATTATTGTTGTGGTGACTGAAGGTCACACACATGCCTGGCCATGATGTGTGAACATTTGTGGTGCTGACCAGGCCTGAGAGTCACACTTCAGGCTGCAGTACTTGAACACTGATGCTTGCTGATGATTGCACCCCTTAGGTTGGGGTGCTTGCACATGTGCTTGCCTGGGGTCACACTGTTTAATTGTGTTCACACATAGCCTTGTGGTAATGTTCACAGGGTGGCTGGGGTGCTCAGACGTGCTCAGAAAGGGTCAAACTTCTCAGAAAGGGTCAAACTTACTGGGTAAAGGAAGTTCACTTTTAAACTTCCTTTAGTCCTTGCTTACTTTTATTTTTAGGGGATGTTGCAATGCTTGACAAACTTCGCCCCACCCCCCCCTTTTGGTTTGGTGCTTACACATACCTGGATGCAGTACAGCTGGAAATGCTTGTGGCAACAAGAATTACATATATTAGAGCTGCCAGGCACAAACCACAGCACTGCCAGGTTGACACTTGTTGCTTGTGGGCAGCACCAGGCGTCAAACTTTGTACTTGCCAGGAAGGGACTTTAGTCACTGAGCTATTCTCAGCCGATGGTATCTTTCTTATTTCATTAGTCAGGTGTCTTCCATATTTGCCTAACAAAACTTTAAAACAAAAGAGATGGTCAAAATCAAATGATTTTAGAAGATATGGATAACATGTATTTTTTTAATCAGTTGTTAATCAGGGGAATGAAAAACTAATCTGGTAACAAAATAGATCTTGAAAGTTAATTTTTATGAATTTGTAAAAATTTGACGCTCTCTGGTGCTGGAGAGGTAATACAGTGGGTAGGGAACTCGCCTTGCATGCAGTTGACTTGGGATTTGATCCCTTCCACTGCATATGGTCTCCTGAGACCATCAGGAGTAAGTGATCCATGAGCTCAGAGACAGGAGTCAGCCATAAACATTGACAGTACCCCTGTTTTCCATAAAAGCATTCTTTTTTTTAATCTTGAAATTCTTGTTTTTTTTTAAATTGAATCAACGTGAGATACAGTTACAAAGCTTTCATTCTTGAGTTTTATCCATACAATGATCAAACACCCATCCACCAGTATATATTTTCCACCACCAATGTCCCCAGTACTCCTCCCACCACCCCCTCCCGAATCTACCCCCTGCCTTTACGACAAGCACTTTCCTTTATAAGCAGAAAATACAATGTGAGAAAATGTGTGTATTGAAAGTACTTATTGTTTGAGAATAACTACGTTTTGGAAAAGTGAGTTTACTACAAAAACAGATGCTAATTAGTTGCGACATTATGTAATAAGCAGGAAATGCATTTTACAGACTCTTTTCATCCTTAAACTGAAGTTACATAGCAACTTCTTGTTAATGTTAAAGCATCTTATGTAGTACAGCTAAAAATGTAATTTTAGTTTTTTTCTTTTAGAAAAGATTTAACAGATAAACTTTACAGTGAACTTATTTTTAAATCATTTTAGGAAATTAAAGAAAGTGAATTTAAGGGAATTCCAATAAATTATTTGGAGGTTCATCCCAATGGAAAACGCCTATTAATCCATACCAAAGATAGTACTTTGAGAATTATGGATCTCAGACTGTAAGTATATTTCAGTATTGGCAGTTTAAGCATTGGTAAACAATGTGTTAAGATATATTTATAAAATATAGCCATGGTTCTCTACTAACAGGTCTATCTCCATAAAAGCAACTGATAGAGACTGTAAATATTTTTGATGGTTGATGCTATGATAGATGGATTAGGTTGTTGATTCTATTCCAGGTGAATAGAACACCTGAGATGCTGCTAAATAACCTATTGTTCATATTAACAGCCCAACCTCACCTCACTCCCAATAAAGATTGTGACCCTATAAAAAGTTCATAGGATTATGAACAGTTCAGAATGATTCCGAAAAATAGTTAATTGCTTTCTGTTTTGGCAATTAAAAAACTTTTGACATGGTATGCATTTTAATCTGTGATGCTGGTATAGTATTATGATGCTATATCATAATTAAAAGGGGTTTTGATTAATACGCCTTTTTTGTTTTTTTCTTGTGTCTAAATAGGCAGGTGAAGATAATGATCCTTAATGTAGTAGTGGAGATTTAGGAAAGCAAGCATAAGAATTGAGAGAAATCTCTCTGTCGTTTTTAAGATTCCATCATTATATTTAGAAAGGCAAATGTGACCATCTTATTAGTATCTTGTTCAATTATCTTTTTAGAACTGACTATTAAACCTTTCAGTATTTATGTTGAACAGTTTGACACTGGCATGTATTCTGCTGGAGACTGAGACACACAATTATCTCACATGTAGTTTACAATTTAATTGTATCACTTCCAAAATAAAACTCAAAACATTTAATTAGACTAAAATGTGAGAACTTCTAGGATGGTAATCTGATCATTTATTTTCAACATATAAAGTACTCATCATGCCTGACAAATATTTTTATCTGCATTTTTAATATTTTTATATAAAAATAAAAGAATTATGTTTTACAAGAACATAAAATTCGATGGTTATACTATAATTTTTCATAAAAGACTTCAGATTGGCTGGTTTGTGCACTCAGCGTTGATGGATTTGTCCTTTTAGACAATATGAAATGTTTCGGCAGGATAGAACACACAAAAGGCTTGAGATAAGTTATGGTCAGGCAATGTGAAGTTTGGTGAGTATAGGTTTCTTGTGATCATAAGTCTGTTTTCAAAATTTTTTTTTCTTTCCGCCCTTTCCTAGCAAAGTTTTCTTGATAATGAGTGCTGAGGGACAATTTATCTTAACTGAAGAGTAGAGACAGCTTATAGAAGGACAGACTTATGGCATTTGGTTTATTCTCTTTTTTTTTAGCAGTAACAATTTATCTTGAAATCATGTATTTGCTCTGGAGGCAAACTGTGTAGAGTCAGATACTCTCTTTTCCACGCCTTATTACCCTTCCTTTTTTTTAACTCTCTGGTGGGAAAAAGAATATATAGTTCTCATTAGATTTACATGGGAATAAAATAATTTATAAATAAACTATTTAAAATATTCTAACCAACAGTGGAAGGATCTTGAGACACTGGGGGAGAAATTGGTGTAGTAACTCTGCAACTATAATGGCTTCAATAGTATTGTAAGCTATAATAATATCTCTATAAAAAGAAAAAATACAATACTAATACTATTGAAGACAGTATACTGTTTTATTTTTTGTTTTTAATTTTTTTTACTGAAACACCATGAGGTACAGTTGTAGACTTATAAATTTTTGTATTTGGGTTTCAATTATACGGTGATCAAGTACCCATCCCTCCACCAGTGCCCATTTTCCACCACCACGGATCCTAGTATCCCTCCCACTCCCCATCCCCCTGGTCCCACCCTGCCTCTGTGACAGGGCATTTCCTTTTGTTCTCTCTCTCCTTTTGGGTGCTGTGGTTTGCAGAAGAGGTATTAATTGGCAATCATTTCTGGTCTATAGTCTACTTTCAGCATGCTTCTCCCATCCTGGGATGGTATACTGTTTAAGTCATTATAGTTTCAGAATTACTATACCAATTCCTCCCCAGTGTCTCAAGATCCCTCCACTATTACCCCCTTTTATCTACCCCTACCTCTTCAATGATCACATCTCAGGATTTGTTTCCATCAGGGATTATCTAATTCCTTCCTTCCTTCCTTCCTTCCTTCCTTCCTTCCTTCCTTCCTTCCTTCCTTCCTTCCTCCCTCCCTCCCTCCCTCCCTCCCTCCCTCCCTCCCTCTTTCTTTCTTTCTTTCTTTCTTTCTTTCTTTCTTTCTTTCTTTCTTTCTTTCTTTCTTTCTTTCTTTCTTCTCAGCATATGAGCAAGATAATTTATTATTTATCTTTTACTTTCTGACTCACTTCAGTTAGCATTATATTCTCGTGTGATTTTGGTCAGGGTAGGGGTAGTGGGGAGTGGTTTGGACCATATTGGGCAGTGCTGAAAGCCTATTCCTGGCTCTCTGATCAGTTGTAAACCTTGGTGGTGCTCAGGGGACCGTGATGGTGCTGGGGATTTGAGCTTGGGTCCCAATTGATGTACCCATGCACATGGTGAATAACTCATGTAGTATCACTCAGGCTCAGACCCCCTATTTGTGTAAATTTTTAAGTTATCACACACGGACCTGCAGCCATAGTACAGAGGGTCTTGCATGCAGCCAACCCAGGATCTATCCCAGCACCCCATGTGGTCCCCTGAGCCATGTCAGGAGTGATCCCTGAGCAAAGAGCCAGGAGAAAGCCTGAGCCAAACTGGATGTGCCCCACTCACCCCCAAATAAAAACCACAAAGTAATTATATAGAAAAATAAAAGAATTCCATCTACATCTACTTTTGATTTATTTCTAATTACATTCTCATTTTTGGCATAAGAACCAAAAGTAACAAATCAAGGTTTTTATGAAGACAGTATGTGTGACCCTAGTCACAGTTTTTAAGATTTTCCTATCCAATTTTATTTTGTCTTTTTTTAGTTGAGGTAACATTAAGTGATTATATATATATATATATATATATATATATTTTAGGTGTATAATTTCACACCTTTTCAGAATATGTTACCATATCACAACTACCATAAAAGTACCAACCTTCTGAAACTACAGTTCACTGTGTAACAGCATTCAAACCAAAGCTTAGGGTATAAAGTCTGTCAACTAGGGACTATGAGGAAGGAATAAGAATATTTCTATCTACTTTTTAGTAACCAACTGAAATGCTGCTTCTTTAAAGTAGTTTCTCTTCCTAGCTGGATGTAATCTCTTATTCAGATCTTCAGTGTTTTGGGGGAAACTTTCTACATTAATTTTGTATATTTTATACGGTCACGGTCACGGTCCTCCCGTTATTCATTGATTTGCTCGAGCGGGCCCAGTAACGTCTCCATTGTGACAATTGTTACTGTATTTGGCATATCGAATAACGTCACAGGTAGCTTGCCAGGCACTGCCGTGCGGGAGAGATTCTCTCGGTAGCTTGCCGGCCTCTCCGAGAGGGGCGGAGGAATCGAACTCGGGTCGGCCATGTTGGCTGCGTGCAAGGCAAATGCCCTACTGCTGTGCTTTCGCTCTAGCCCGGTGTATATTTTATATTTTATATGAATACATTTCTTCTCTCTCTTGCTAAGTTATAAACTCACTAAATTAAGAGATATATCTAGAACTATCTCTTCTTTATTTGCATCCATCCTAGAATTTCTTCCACAAAAATATTCTCAAAAATTATTTGCTATGTAATACTTCTATAACTGGGCACTAGCAGAGCCTAAATGCTTTACTAAGAGCCCATGATAGCTATCGGATTTTTTGCTATCAGATTCTTCACTAAGAATCTTCACTAAGAATTCTTAGTGAAGAATCTGATAGCTATTATAATATGGGTATGGTCCTAGTTTATGTTAAATTTATGCCATATAGCAAGACTTACTAATAGGAAATTAGATTCCTAATAGTATTGAAGGAACAAGTAGTTGCTCAAGTAAGTAGTTTAGTCACACAAACCTCTTCCTGCTCCAGTGTTCTTTTTTTTTTTAATTTCTGGGTTATACCCTAGGAATGTTTGGGATCTACTGCCACTGCAGTGCCAGGGACCACTCCCAGTAGAGCTTGGGAGGACTGTTGGGTTCAATCTGTGTCTCAAAATGTATCTGCACTATTTAACTTTGTGTTGTAATTTTTATACAGATTTGAAAGGTATTACTGAAAGGCACTGAATTTAACATGGCAAAACACTGTCCAAATATATTTTCTTATTTCTGTGTATGCCAATAAAATTGTTTACTAAATGCATATGAAGTATTTAAAAGAAAAGCTTTTCTATTGCCAGTTTTTTAAATGGATTAAATTGGTTACACTTGTATAACCTTTTCTTTTATATAGATTAGCAGCAAGAAAATTTGTAGGTGCAGCAAACTACCGGGAGAAAATTCACAGTACTCTGACACCATGTGGGACTCTTCTGTTTTCTGGAAGTGAAGATGGTATAGTATATGTTTGGAATCCAGAAACAGGTAATGTTTTATTGATCTCCATATTTTTTTTACTTTGAAACTACTGTTTTATAAAATAATTATTGAGGAAATTCTGGGTTCAGTTCTCAGTTATATTTTGAGTATTGGAAAGCTGGTAATGAAACTAATAAATTATGCTTATTGTTTTAATAGCTTCATGAATAGGATCTCATATTTTAAATTAATATTTAGTTTTGCTTTACCTGTAATGAACTATTTTTTAGTATTTAATGAGTACTTAGCATTTAAGTACTTAGCACTTAATGAGTATTATAATAGAATATAAAAATTGTATAAGCTGAATTTGAGAGTAACCAGGCTAACACTAAAAATTACTGAATATTTAATTATTAGAGACAATTATGTTTCCTCAAAGTTTTTGACATGTGAAATAGCTGCCTAAATTATTGAACTTCAATTTTTTTTCTTTTACACTAAACCGTTACTTTGAGAACCTCACTTGTGCTTCACCTTTGTTTTTCAAGAAAAATGCTAAAAACACATTCTGGTCTGATCTTAAGATCTATGATCCACTTTGTGTAAGGCGTGAGATACAGATCCAGCTTTAATTTTTTATATGTAGTTATCCAGTTTTGCCAGCACTGTGTATTAGAGGCTGTCTCTACTCCATTTCATGTTCTCAGTTTCTATGTCAAAAAATAGTTGACCACATATGTGGGAGTTTGTCATTGAATGTTCTATTCTGACCCATTGGACAGAAGTCTGTTCTTATTCAATACCACACTATTTTGATCACTATGGCTTTATAGCATAGTTTTAAGTGAGGTAATGAGATACCTCCCTGTTTTTTATTTTTCAGTTATGGCTTTGCTATTCAGGTGTTTTCTTTTTCCTTTTTCCTTTCTTTTTTGAAATTCAGATACCTTATAATTTCATACAAACCTTATTATGGACTGTCCAATGTCTATGAAGAATGTTGTCTAAATTAATAAATTATTTTTTTAGTGAATGTTTTCTTTCTCCTTGTTTATTCTGCTAATATTTTCTTTAGATGTCTTTGAAATAAAATTTTTTTCTAATTGTAGAAGAATGTATTTTTTTTTTACAAATTCAGAAAGTATTTATTTTTTTTATTTTTTTTTTTAATTTGCTTACATTTTTATTTTGTTCTTATTTTTTTTTCTTTTTTTCTTTTTTTTTTGAAGAATGTATTTTTAAAAAAATTTTTTAAGTTTTTGATTTTATGTGGTAGTTCACAATATTTAATTACATTTAATATTCAAACACCAGTCCCACCACCATTATGCCTTCCTACCACCGTATTTCAGATGTTTCCATCCCTGCCCCCAAACAGAACTGATATGATATATTTTGTTTTGTTTGTTATGAAAAGCCACTGAAAATGCTATAATAAAGTACTGCTGGAGGAAAGAGTGTCAAGATGGAGGAAAGAGTGTCAAGATTGTTGTAGGGGCCATTAAGCCCTTCTATAAGAGAGTACTAAAATGTTGTTAAAGGTTGAGTCTTGTGTGCTAATATATATGCATATATATATATATGTATATCTGCCTATATGTGTGTGTGTGTGTGTGTGTGTATGTGTAGATATAGAGCACTGTAGCATTGTCCTTCTATTGTTCATTGATTTGTTCGAACGGGCACCAGTAACTTCTCCATTGTGAGATTTGTTATTGTTTTTGGCATATCTAATATACCACAGGGATCTTGTCAAGCTCTGCTGTGTGGGTGGGATATTCTCGGTAGCTTGCCGGGCTCTCGAAGAGGGATGGAGGAACTGAACCCGGGTCAGCCGTGTGCAAGGCAAACACCTTACCCACTGTGCTATTGTTCCATATATCTGTAAAAAATATTTTTCCCTCTAATATTGGTTACCTCTTACTATGAGCCCCATCAAATGTGGTGTGGTACTCTTGGAGTATGGGTAGGATGTGTGGTACGAAGTGTTCTGCAGCCGTGTGGTCCAGGAATAGGTTTAGTCCTGGGTGAGGCTCAGTCGGAGCATGTGGAGAGCAGCCATGAGAGTGGTGGTAGATCAGTTCTGGAGGTTTTGGGCTGCTGTGGTTGGGTCCCTTGGGGCAGGGAGGGGCCCCACCCACCCACCTTACAGGGCGCCAGGAGTGAAGCAACCTGGTGCAGGGTCGGGCGGCACAGTTATGGCCAAATCAGTAATTTTTATTTCACATAAATTTACCAGTGTTCTTTTCTTTCCCGTCAGTAAATATATACACATTTTTTTCTTTTTGAATTCTCCTTTCTGTCAGTTCCAGACTTATGTTTTAAACCTTTTATATGCATAACTATATGCATTTTAAAGGCAGATGCTATGTTAAACAATCTCTGGAAGAACAGAAAAATAATTCAAGCCTCATTCAGAGAGTTTCTTTAGTTTGAATCTTGCAATTTCTACCATAGTTCGCACTGGATTTTTCTGACATATATGAATAAAATATAAATGAGATAACCTGCTTCTAGGCTCCTTTCATTTTATTACTTAAAACCTAATTGAGAGGTTGGAATGAAAAGTAAAAATACCAGGAGAATAAAAAATTACTTATTTAACACCAGTGATCAAATTATGTATATTATGAGATTTTTCATGTAAATGATATGTTTTATGTTTGCTATAGATATTTTCAATAAATTGAAGAATTTTATGAAAGGTTTTTAAGCATTATGTATTTTTTCTTATTTAGGAGAGCAAGTAGCCATGTATTCTGACTTGCCAGTCAAGTCACCCATTCGTGACATTTCCTATCATCCACTTGAAAATATGGTTGCATTTTGTGCATTTGGACAGAATGAGCCTATTCTTCTATATATTTATGATTTCCATGGTAAGTCTACTTGTGAAGTAAAGAATTTTTAAGGTGAAATACATACATACATAAATAAATCAATAAAAGGGGCTGGATCCATAGTTCAGTGGGTAGGGCATTTGCCTTGCATGTAATCTATATGCATCCTGTGTGGTCCTCTGAGCCTACCAGGAATGATGCCTAAGCACTGTCTGAGCACAGTCCAAAAGGAAAAAAATTAGGTAGCACAGCGGGTAAGGCATTTGCCTTGCACGTGGCCAACATTGCTGACCCGGGTTCGATTCCTCCGCCCCTCTTGGAGAGCCTCGTAAGCTACCAAGAGTATTCAATATGCCAAAAACAGTAACAAGTCTCACAGTTTGTTGTGAGATGCTACTGGTGCCTGCTTGAGCAAATCGATGAACAACGGGAGGACAGGGCTACAGTGCTTACATTTAGACTCAGTCAGGAATTTTGAGCTTCATGCAAGCTATCATTGAATTACTTAAAAGAAGTCTCTTGAATGTATTTTTAAATATGAGCAAAGAATAATAACAATATATTATTGTTTTGTTATGATTTTTTTCAATAATTACAGTTAAGGAGTTTAGATATTTACAGAACTAGATATAATGGTGTACCCTTATATTTATATATTCATACAAATACAGTCATACTTTCTTTATAAATCAATTTAAATAAACAAATTTACCTAAAATTGATTTGGGAGGTACTAATTTAAATTTAAATGTAAGTACATTTAGGGAATATAGACATTTAATATTTTTTGAATATTGAGTTAATTTCTGATTCTATATTTTTGTTTTTTTTTACTAAAATGCATCATTTCAATAAATTGTAGTTTTGCAATTTAACATGAAACTAAGGCATAAAATTCAATGTTAATGAAAACAAGATCCATAATTAGAACTTAATTTTATACTCGTATTATTCTGTCATTCTGAGAAATAACAAAAAAGAGGACTAAATATAGTTTTCAAATAATGTCATTCTCAGAATTAGTTATATTTGATCTACTTTTCAAATTTCTGCCATAAAATTATAATTTTGTAGATCTGCATATTGACTAGCAGCGTAGTTACTCTCAAAATTGTAATTCTTTTTCATATATTTATTTTTACACAAAAATAACATGTCTGTATTAGTCTGCTATATTTAGGATATTATGTTCCAGTGTGTATATATATACATACATGTATATACATATATATGTAATAATGTCAAACCATTTGAACAAAGTGTTTTAAAGTAATGAAATGTGAATGGCTAACAATTACGTTGCTGTAGATATTGCCACCATCATCCAATGAGTTGATAGCACAACCATCAACCAATTTAGAACTTGTCTAATTAGTTAGCAGACAGTTGATCCTATATGGACGTTTTGTACCTTTTTTAAAAAGATAATTTATATTAGAAAATAATTTGGAAATTTAGGATTTGTCATATCTGAACTTTATAGAGAATAAGTAGTAAATTGCTCCAACTTATTCAGATTTTAGTAGTAACAATAGGATATCTTACTAGTAGTATATACTTTTTTATTAAACAATATAGTATTATTCACTATTATAAAGGAAATTTTAGCAGAAATAATACTGCATAAGTATCGGAAAAGACAAAAGGACTTTTCAAATCATTTAATGTCCAAATCTGGTATTTAGGTTAAACCCACATATTAGAGCAAATGGTTTTTCTTTGTACTTTAAATCTTTACATAAGGCAGTTCTACCTAAAGTATTTAGTAATTGAAACTAGAGTTTGGCTGCAAGATTATTTCCTCTGCCCCTTAATGTGTTTCACAACAGTCTTCATTCAGTTTCTAATTAATTTCTCAGGCTTTTGACATTTTTACTACAAATGCAAATTTTACTGTTATCTGTTTCCATGCTATATTTTGTTGTCCTTAAATTCATCCTTAAATAAACTCATATGTGTTTGTCCATTTTTTAGACACCAAGCATAGAGACTAAAAAAATTTGTTTAGGAAGCTTAAATGAAAACAAACAAACAAACAAAAAACACCAAAAGTTTTACTTTTGGGCTCAAGTTCATGGCCTTATGGATCAAGTGCCTTCCTGAAACTTCATTTCCTTATCTGGTCTATATATGTACTACTACTAATGGGGTAGGATATTAGGGGCTGGGAGGGACAGAGTGGGGGGAGAAAGAGAGAGAGAGAGAGACAGAGACAGAGACAGAGACAGAGACAGAGATAGAGACAGAATGAGAGGAGAGAGGTTTGACAAGAACATGTAGCACAAAGGCTTTGAAAGCAATTTGTAAATTGATAACACTATGTTAAGAGGACCAAAAAAGGTAAAAATAGGTTGTTATAATGCTCACCTGAGAATTTATAGGAAAACTATATTACTAAGCTTCTCTCCAAGGAATGGACTTGAAACAAGTTTTTCCTTCCCCTCTCTATTACTGTTTATGTTGGTTAGCATTCCTTTTTGAAAAAGTGTTTGTAGAACAGCATATTTGAAAACCATTAAATGTGTAAGCTTCAGAGCATTATGTTACATTCATTCCATTTTAACATAGAGGAGAAAGGATTTCTATCAGTGTTTTAGAATTAAAATGTTGAAATAATACACAGTATAAAATTAGTATTATTTTGTGCAACAAATTAATTTAGAATGCATTTTTTGATATTTTGATACATAACACCTTTACAAGCAAATTAACACTCAACGTTTCTACATACTTTGCCAACTTTTGCTGCCTATTTTTAAAAAAGAGGAAGTTTAGGAAGAAGTTACATAATTTCAGGCAATCTAAGATTTAACAGTGTTCTTATGAGTGTTATACGTCCCTGACAACAATTAAAATATGTTTCAGACTTTCATATTTTACTCAGTAAACCCAAACCAGAATCATTCTTTATTTTTACTATTGGATACTAAAGTATTATTCATCCATGATAGTTTTGATTTATATTTTATTTTGTTTGTTTTGTTTTTGCTTTTTGGGTCCCACCTGGCATTGCACAGGAGTTACTCCTGCCTCATGCACTCAGGAATTATTCCTGGTGGTGCTCAGGGGACCATATGGGATGATGGGAGCCGAACCTGGGTTGGCCACGTGCAAGGCAAATGCCCTACCCGTTGTACTATCACTCCAGCCCCTTGATTTATATTTTAAATACTTTATACTTTTATAGTTTAAATTTTAAATACACTTTGTGTTTTAAATATAAATGGAGTGAGTAGCTTAATATTTTAAATATAAAGTAAAAATACAAGGTTTCAAGCTTTAAATATTTAAAATTTAAATATAAAGTTATATAAATATATTTTAAATACCTATTCATAATATATTTATATAATAACATTTTAATATATAATTATATATATTAATATGTAATATATTAAGTTTAAAATATATGTTTAAACTTTAAATATGTTTTTAAATATGAGACTGTTTTGTCCCAAATTTCTTATCTAAAAATAATTTTTATGTGTACGTTTATGTAAATGTTTTAATGGTATAAACTTCAAACTATGTAGAATAGTTAATGTTTTTTTATATAATATTTATCTGAACTTCATATATATATTGTTTTCAAGGAAAATGGAGCAGGCTCGTTTTTCAATAAGTTAAATAAACTGTGGATAGACCACATGGTAGCTGAATACATCATTCATCTTTCAGTTCTAGCGAAATCTGTGAAGAGTCAGCAAGCTTCTTTCCCTTTTAACCATGTATTCAGGTTGTGGTCTTTTTGTATCTTTCATTCTACTGACTTTTTGCTGTTTTTGGTAAGAAATATGATTTTTACTTTCAGAAGTCAGTGTTATTTGCTTGATGTTGAAAAGGTTAATCATCTAGTAGTACAAAATTTAGTCACAGAGCACCACAGATAAGATACTTTTAGGATTCCCATAATAACAGAATACTAGTCAGAGAAACGGCTCCTACTGAATTAAATTTTTGATGTTATAGTTTAGCAATTGCTTTTCTGTTCTTAATATTCATCTACCTCAATCTCTATGTTCCTGCCATATATTTCCTATTGATAGCTAATGCATTTGACTTTCTGTGTACCTGTTACTGTTACAAACACTTCACAAATACTTTGTATGTAAAGATAAGAGCAACAAATGTTGCCATTTTACAGGAGCCAGGGCTTGGATTCATAAGTCTGAACTTGTAGTCCATGATTTTCTTTGCTATACTTAGCTTTCTTTTTATTAGATTTTCAAAATCACTAACTTTTGCTTGTGTAATATACCTCAATATTTTTTAATTTATATATCTCTGTTGAGTATGTGATTTTTTAATTATTTGTACCTTATAGGAAGGAGAGATACAACCACATTCTCTTTTCTTACCTTATGTAGCCTGAAAACTGACATATAATAAATATGCATGTAATTTTTTAAGTAAGGTCAAGAACTTAATTTGAGAAGTTCTCAGCATGATAATCCCATGCAATAAACCTGGATTTGCACTAGGTGGCAGTAATTCACCAGAATCAGTGTTAATTCTGAGTGTGACTGTTTAGGCAATCCAGTTCTTTATTGAGCACCTAATGTGTGTTCAGAAAAGCTGTGAAACCAGGAACTAGACTCCAGTCTTATCATGTTCTTTTTTTCTAATTATTTGTGTTTCCTGATTAAATCTCTGAAAGAACATTAAGTTGAAAAAGTCTTCCTTATCAATACAAATTATTTTATTGATACATGGTCATCAATGGGCAACTACACAACGGCACTGTTACTGGTGATAGATTCCCCCCCTCCCCCCTTACTAGCTTCACAATATTTCAAGAATATGTATCTTTTATTTTCCTACAAATTGTGTTGGGGGGGGATGTGTGTGTGTGTGGGGGGATAGTTGAAAACATAGTATAGCAGGCACCTCCTTGTATGCTGCTGACCATGTTTTGAGCCCTGGCACTCTTTATGGCCTTGGTCTCTTGCCTTGGTTCATTTGGACAGCTGTGTGAAAGTGCCCTAAATTGGATGACTTACATATAACCAAGTTTATAAGGTACAAGGAAAATCCAAGAATGGAAACTGATAAATCAAGCTTCCAGGGAGTTCTAGTTCATAGATGGGGCCTTTTCTAACTGTGGAGAAAGCAGATGCAGCCTCGCATGATGGAAGGGTCATCCTTATACCATCAGATGGTGAGTTAGAATCTCAACATATACATTTTAGGTGTATGCAAGGATTAAGGTCAAGGAAATTCTGCACACATTGCAAATATTAGCAAGAAGGAGGATCCTACAGAATTGTTTAATGCAGAGAAGCTAAAGAAGTAGATTTATCACCTTACAGAAATAATAATATGGTTGGAAATAGAGTAATTTAGATATAAAGGAATAGGTGTCCAGTCAGTGACTATAAATAGTACCAGGGCTTTCTACAGTAGACCATAACCAAAGGAACTGAGTCTTGAACCACAAGAAAATCTTTCTGCTAATATCAGTGTAAGAGAAATAATATATTGTTTTTATTTTATTATATTATAAAGTAATAACATATTGGATGCAGATTTTCATATTAACCAGCCTATTTTTGCCTCAAGTGCAAAGGACAATGTATTAAAATATCTTATTTTCTTCATTCTTCCTCCTGTAAAGATAAAAATCTACTGACAAACCACACAACTTTTTTGTAAGTGCTTCAAGCTGAAATATTTTTATTATTATTATAATTACTGTGATTTTGGTTGGTCATCTGACAGTTCTCAGAGCTTACTTCTTACTCTGTGCTCAGGAATCACTCCAGGTGGACTAGGGGGACCATATTATAGGGTGCCAGGAACCGAGCCCTGATTGGCTATTTGCAAGGCAAGTGCCTTACCCAATGTACTGTCCCTCCAGCCCCTGTTTTTCAATATTTAAAACAAAATTTAAGTATGTATCTAAGTACTCTACATCAGTGTATTTCTTAGGAAAGAAATATATTCAGATACAAGGACTTGGTTAAGCATACTCCCCGCCAGAAACTTTATTTTATATATTTTTTTTTATTATAGTTCTTAAATAGTGAGCATATGTTCAATATTGTCACTGTCTGTCCTCCCATTGTTCATCGATTTGCTCAAGTGGGCCCAGTAACATCTCCATTTTGAGACTTGTTACTGTGTTTGGCATATTGAATACGTCACGGGTAGCTTGCCAGGCTTTGCCGTGCAGATGAGATACTTGCCAGGCTCTCCGAGAGGGGCAGAGGAATCGAACCCGGCTCAGCTGGGCTGGCTGCATGCAAGGCAAACACCCTATTGCTGTAATATCACTATGTATAAATCACAAAGATATACACATATATGCATACATATACATACATATGTATACATATATATGTATAGTTTGGGACCACATTTTGGCTTACTCTTGAGAGAGCTTGGGGTAGACCATATTCCATGCTAGGGATCAAACTTGGCTGACAGCTGCAATGCCTTAGCTGTACACTGTCTCCTGTGCCAAGTAAATGTTTATTAACCACATAGTTCTTTTGTGAAATTTTTGTATTGTCCTCAATGTATATTTTGGTAATCTTTTGGTTAACCTTATAGGGACTTCATCTCAGTAAAGTTAAATACCCATCATCTCCAAAAGTTATTTTACCTCCCTCCCTCTTCCCCTCACATAATCATTCTTAATTTACATTTTCTAGAATGGTATATAGCTGAAATAGTATATTTGGTAGTATACTTGAAATAGTATATTTGGTATATAGGTAATTATGTATGCCTTATCTTATTCATAATTAATGTGATATTAATAGATATTTTGGTGTTTTTAATGATTTATCCTTTTAGCTGAATTAGGTTGTTAGGTTACCAGTTTATTTATACTTTCAAATGTTGGGAGGAAATTGGTTTGGTTCCAATTTTGTAACCATCACATATAAAGGTGTTAATGAGTATTCATCCTCAAGTTTCTTGTGTGGACACTTGTTTCCATTTCTCTTGAATTATTAAGAATAAGGAAGCTAGATCCTACTGTAGAAACACATTTTACTTTATAAGCTCCAAAAATATTTTCTAAAGTGATTATGATATTTAACATCCCTAACAGTTGTCTGAATGTTTCAGTGTCCCCATATCCTTGCCAAATTGGAATGATCAACCTTTTAAGTTTTAGTCATTCTGATAGTATGCACTGCTATTTTATTGTGCCTTTAATTCTGTTCTACAGTCCCCTTCTCTCCCCTTCTCTCTCTTCTTAATGGCCAGGGGGAGCCACATCCAGCAGAGCTCAGGGGCTGCTTACTCCTGGCTCTGTACTCGGGGTCACTCTAGGCTGTCCTCTGGAAACCTGGGGATTGAGCCAGGTTTGGTCCCATGCGGCAAGTGCCTTTACCCCTATGCTATCTCTCTGTTCCACTTTTAATTATTTTAATCCCTTATGACTATGATATTGAACATGTTTTCACATATCTACTTGTTATTTGTATCTACTTCAGCAGAATGTCTGTTCAAGTCTTGCCTGAGTTTTAATTTGTCTGGTTTTTTTTTTTGCCTCTGAATTGTGAATTTTGAGTATTAGATGATGCATGTATAATTTGTGGGTTATGATTTAGTAACACTTCAACCAGTATTGATTATGGTGTTAGGTTTTATACTTAGATTTATAGTTTATATTATTTTTGTATATGGCTTAAAGTATAGATCAAAGTTTATTCTTTCATACATGAATATCCAGTTGTTGGAGCAGTATTTGTTGAATAGCTTTTCTTTAGTAAATTGCCTTCCACCTTGCCTGTACATGCTGCACTCTCTATTTTGTTCTTTTGATCTATTTGTTTATGCCACTAATAAAGGATCTTAATTACTGGAGCTTTGTAATATGACTTGAAGTCAATTTTGTTCTTTTTCATAACTGTTTTGACTCTCTTGCTCCTTAGCATTTCCATGGTAATTTTAGAAATTGAAAATTTCTCCAAAAAAATCCCACCTGTAATTTTGCGTGAAATTATATTGACTATTCAACATAAAAATAATTTGTCTTTCAGTGGACTTCTCATTTTCACTCACCAATACAGTATTGTACTTGCTATATACTTCTTTCATCATATATTTACCAAAGTTTGTCATAGTTGATTCCTTATAAGGAAATATTCTTTTTTTCTAATAATTATTCTTTGTTACTTGAATATAGAATATAATTGATTTTTATATGTTGATCTGGTACCAAAGAACCTTTCTGAAGTCAGTTGTTAAGTTCAAGTGGTTTATTGTTGAAATTTTATTGAGACTTCACATAAAAGTGGCACCAACACTTGACAGTATGTACCTCCTTAAATTCATTTATTTTCTTCCTTACATGTTTCACTGTTGTCTTAGCTCTCCATAGGTAATAGGTAATAAGGCTATAAAGAAGACTGCTTTATTTCTTCTTTTAGTATCCACTTTTTGGTAGTTTTTAAAAAGGAGAACAAATCTGAGTTCTTTAAAAAAAAAAACTCTGTTTTGGTCATGTAGAGTAACTATCACTTGCTGTTTAATTATGGTGTTGTTTAATTTGTTTGGTTGTTGACTTTTTTGGCCACATCCATCTGTACTCAGGATTAAATCTGAGCTCTGTGCTCAAGGATCACTCCTGGTGACCTTGGGGGATGCCAGGGATCAAACGTGGATCACCTGCATGCAAGGCAAGTGCGCTACCCACTGAACTATTGCTCCATTCCCTAATTATGGTGGGTTTTCAGATGCTTATTTTTGTACCAAAATTGGTACATCTTTTATGTTGATAATTCTTAATATTTTTGAGTCTTGTAAACCTTATGTGAATAATCTGATAAAACTTATGTGTTTGAGTTGCAGAAATATTTACATATATGCTCAAGTTTCTATATATAACTCTTCTGATCCATAAAATCTCTTAAGACTAATCTGCTGGTCTTTTGCCGTGATTTTAGTCTTAATTATCACTATAGTTTTTTATTTCATATTAGAAAGTTTTTCCACTTAAAATTATATAATTGAGGAAATGCTTTTTAAGTTAGGGTTTTCTCTTTTGTATATATAATAGACTGTTGTTCAAATTTATTTATTTTAAATAACTGCTGAACTAAGTCTTTGGCCACTAAAATGATTAGGTAATGTTTCCTAAAGCATCTTTAAAACAATCTAGGGTTATACAGGTGCTTTTGTCCTCCTTGTCTTCATCATAATCATACAAAATGTCATCCTTAAGCCATCTATCCCATTCTAAATAAGTTCAGGGAAAGAACTATATCTAAGAAAAAAAAACTCTTGATAGTACTTTTTCATGGCTTATAATAAAAGAAAGAAGAAAACATTGCAAATGTATAGAAATTGAAGAATATGTGTGTTAATTGTGCTTCCCTAGGTGAGAATAGTATAAACCATTTTAAAACAGTGATTACAGAGAGAATTAAGAAACGTGCTTGCATTAAATTGAGAAAAGGTTAAATTGTATTTGTACTGTGATATGTTAAATGTACATATGCTATGACTGGGAAATATAGAAATACAAAAACATCTTTAGGGAGATAGGTTGTGAATAGTTTATAAGATTAGTTTTAGTTTTCATTAATATTGTATGTATATTTAATGTATAATTAAAGTTGAATCACTTTCCTAATTTGTAATATCTGTCAGAACAAGATTTGGTTGTTTTTCCAGAGTCACTTATAACACTGCCTAATCTGAAATCATCTATTAGGTTATTCCACTGCCTTTTTATGGGTTTCTAAGTGTGGAGTTTCATATTTTACCCAATTATGCTGCCTTATTATTCTCCTGGAATAATTTAAGTGTGAAATTTCATATTTTACCAAATTATTTTGCCTATTGTTCCTAGGATTCAAATATATTAAAAGTTTCTCATAATTTAATACTACCATTTTATGGTTGAATTATTTCATTATACTTTTGGTAATTTGAACTAATTATGGATTTATTTCCCAGTTGCCCAGCAGGAGGCTGAAATATTCAAATGCTACAGTGGAACGTTTCCATTACCTTGTATACACCAAATGCAAGATGCTCTGTGTACCTGTCCTAAACTGCCTCATCAAGGCTTTTCTCCAGTAGATGACTATGCCCACACTGAAAATTCTTCACTGAAGATGCAGCAAGTGAAACAGACACTTGATTCTGTCACGGTATGTTTATCTTATGCAATTGAAAAGTTAGAAATTTTGAAACCATTGTGATCCCATCTTGCAGTGCAATTCCAATTAAATATTAACTAAACAAAGAAAGCTCACTTAAAACTTGACTTCTTATACTTTTATGGTTCCATTCTACTATTTATTGTAATATGATAACTTCAAGAAACAAATTGAACACAGAATAATTTGAGTTGAACTCTTAATTTTGATAGCTTTGTGTAGACCAGTTCAGGACTATTCCTCTGTGTAAAAATATAGGTGTGTGTGTATGTCCATAAACACAGCATAAATGCATATAATTTAAAATACCTCTCTGGTGAATATTCACATAAGGTATGTTAGAGAGCATCCTCAATATACTAAAATTAAAATCTAAAGAATAGTGAAACTTCAACAAATATGTGAATAAAACAATATGCTGCCATTAAATAATACATACAAATGTTTCATGAGCATGCTTAAAAGCTTTATCTCCAAGCCAGAGAGGGAGTACGGTGGGTAAGATGCTTTCCTTGCACACAGCCAACCCGGGATTGAATTTCAAGCCCCATTTTCTACCTGGCTCAAACCCTGGGCACAACTAGGTATGCCCCACAAACCAAACCAAATTTATTTATATACATTTTTTAAAAAACAAAGTAGAATTTCTGTCTCACTGCTATTGCCATAAGAAATAGAAAAGATTCATATAATTGAGAAATAGATAATGCAAATGACAAAAGAATTGTTTGGTTAAAACTTGTGGACTACATCTTTTTCTCAAAGATATACTGAAATTTCAATATATTTAACATTCTTTAAGTATTTTTAAATATATTGAACATCTTTTAAGTATTTTTGCCTGCTAACAATTGTTCTTTTAGTTAGAATTAGCCTTGAGCTCCTTGAGGACAGGAACCATGCAAGCTTGTTCCCCGTTGTCCTGTCTCCTTTTGACACAGTGCCTCTTTTTTCTTATTATTTTATTTTATATAAGGTAGTTCACAATATTTGATTACATTTAATATTCAAACACCAATCCCGTCATCATTACACCTTCCCACCACCATATTTGGGATGTTTCCATCCCAAGCCCCAATCCCTGTCCCTAAGCACAACTAAAATAATTTTTTTGTATTTTTTGTTATAAAATACTGCTGAAAATGCTTCAAAAAATTATCCATAGAGGACACAGTGTGAAGATTGTTCTATTTTGGCAGGGGCCATTAAGTCCTTCTTTAGGATATCACTAACATGTTGTAAAGGTTGAGTGATGTGAATTTTCATATATATGTATATATCTGAAAATGTGTACATATATATTTCCCTCTATGATTGTTGCCTACTATTTGAACCCCATCAAATGTAATGTGGTACTCTTGGAGAATGGGTAGGGAGTGTCTTGTGATGTGTCACATAGCTGCGAATGCTGGCATGTGGTCCAGGAATAGGTTCACTTGTGCATGAGGCCCGGGTGTGTGGGGAGCGACCTTGAGCATGGCAGTGGTTGTTGGTTGGGTTGTGGAGGTTTTCGACTGTAGGTTCTGGGTCCCTTGGGGCAGGGAGGGCTCTCACTGGCCCCCTCTGGGGTGCCCCGAGTAAAACAGCCTGGCGTGGAGTCCAGTGGAATCACTATGGTGGGCATTGCTTCCTTCCAGGAGAGAAAGCCGTGCCATCTGGATAGTGGCCCATGACAAGATTATCAGGCACCGCTGAGAGGTGGCTCATGGGCATGACTGCTGGGTTGCCAGAGGCAGGGGAAAACATCAGAGGATCGCCGCTCCCGGTCCCATTGAACCCAGAGTCCCAAGTCACAAAGTTCTGTATACCTGGGTTTTGTCCGGCTTCAGACAGTACCTCTCTTAATATAAATATTATCCCCTTTCCTCCTCCTTTACTAAGTATCTTGTCCAGTTTTAAGCTAAATATACGGAAGACCTACGTTGAGACACTTTTAAATCATAGCTAGTTTTTCTCTCTCCTTTTCTTTCTTTTTTCTTTTTTTCAGAAATCAAGAGTTTAATATATTGTGGAGTATAGATTAGACTCAAGTTGTGTATTTAGGTTTATTCAGAATATATGGGTAAATCTTGTGATATTTTCAATAGCAGTGTAGCACTGTAGCACTGTCCTTGCGTTGTTCATCCATTTGCTCGAGTGGGCATCAGTAATGTCTCACAACAAATTGTGAGACTTGTTACTGTTTTTGGCATATGAAATATGTCATGGGTAGCTTGCCAGGCTTTACCACACAGGCGGAATACTCTCGGTAGCTTGCCAGGCTCAAGTGGGCATCAGTAGTGTCTCATGTGGTACTCATGATGGGGGTGGGGGAGAGGCACACACGAAGTCGTAGTGCTTGTGGGTGGGGCATGGACCACCACATTTCCTCTCATGGCAGTGCCCACACATTCTACCTACGGCACTAACACACGTGCTTGGTGTGGGTCTCACTCTGGGCTGCAGTGCTGACACCTTTTTGACTGTCTGAAAACCACAACTCCACGGGACTGTGCTCCCCCTACACTTGTGATGCTTGCACACATCTGGCCGTGTTGTGGTTGGCAAGCAGAGGCAGTTTGCAGGGGTCAAGAGCTGCCAGGATTGGGGCCAGAGCATTAGCACAGAGTGTGGGGCATTTGCCTTGCATATGACTGACCCGGGTTCAATCCTCGGTATCCCATTTGGTTCCCCAGCACCACCAGGAGTAATTCATGAGTGCAGAGTCAGGAGTAATCTCTGAGCATCACTGAATGTGACTTAAAACAAAAGAGTTTCCAGGATCATGCTCAGCATGCAGCCAAGGTACCAGGGATCAAACTCACAGCCTTACTCTTGTGAGGCCAGCACTTTAGCCATTGAATTTTTTTGTTTTTTAACAATTATGAAAGAGAGTTCTTTGGAGTGGCCTGCTGGAAAGTGTAGGGTAGGGCTGCATCCTGGTCTCAAACAATCTATAAAGATACATGTAAAAGACTGTAAGGAGGGGGCTGGGGTGATAGCACAGTGCGATTTTCATTAGAAGTTCTAGAATATAGAAATTTATTTCATGTTTTCTTCGTATTTTAACATTTTATGAAAATTAATGCATGTTGCTCCAAATTTTAAAAAGACATGTGAAAGAGTCAGAGAGATAAGTGTCAGCATTAAAACCCTTGTGTTGTATGTGGCTGATCTTAATCCACATTACTATATATGGTTCCTCTAGCAGTTCCAGGGAAGTAGAGATCCCTGAGTATAAATCTGGGAGTAATCCAGATGTGGCCTAAAAACAACAAAACTAAAAAGAAGTGTGACTAGATAAACTGATCTAGTTTGGGAGGCAACAAGAAAATGGGATCTCATAAACTGTGTTCAGAAAGCCTGGGAAGCACTGAGTTTAAGCTGATTATTCAAGTGCTAGTGTGGAGAGTGTGGCGTCCAGTGCTGTAGGTCCCAGAACAGTCCAGGTTTAACTCTGATCTCTCCAGAACTGTACGCAACAGTGCTTTGGTTTGGAACTTGGGTCTCTGTCTTAGCTGCTGTCTTAACTCCCAACCCTGAGGAGCTGATTTTTTTGTTTTTGTTTTATGGGCCCATGTTCAGGTCTTACCCCAAGCTCTTCACTCAGAGATTATCCCTAACTGGGCTTGGGGAACATAGATGGTGTAGGGGATGAAACCTTGGTGCGCTGCATGCAAGGCAAGCACCCTGCGCACTGTCACTCTGGCCCCATGACCTGATGTTTTTAAAATTCGTGGAAATGTTTCTTCACTAGAAAAAAAAATGCATCCCTTTTTCACGATCTTACATGGCAAAATGACTTAATCCCAAAGAGTCAACAGCTCCTAGATTGATCCAGTCAAGCATCCTACAATATGTGAGTCTTACATAAACCTTCATATCCTGGTGCAACCTTGATCTTGTAGTTTTTCTCTTATATAGCAGTCATCTTCAGATAAATAATAGTAATGAGGGAGATGTAAAGGAAAAATAAATTCAGAGATATTTTTCAAGAGAAGAAATCAAAGACCTGATTTTATTTATAATGTGTTATATGACATGTTTTTCTCTTAAATCATCACTTATTTAGTTTTTTCAAATACTATGTAAAATTATTTAGAGAATATCTGATTTGGAACTAAAGTAGATCATTACTGCCATTGGAAATGAAAGCTTTGTCTTCTTGCTGTTTTTTGTTGTTTTCTTTTTGTTGTTGTTATTGTTTTTAAGTTTTGTTTTTCTTGAGTTGAGAGAATTCACAGAACTTTTATAGTAATGCCTTTTGTCTATTTCCTCTGTGTTTTGATAAATCCCTAAGTTCCTTTTTTGTTAGGTTATTAGACTCTGAAAGATTGTTAACACAGACCTACCATATAGAAAGAGGAGACTATATTACTTCTAAATTATAGATGATTGTTTTATTGGATAGATGTTTTTTCTTTGTAACCGTAGTAGGGTTGTTTATTCCAGTAATATGTAGCACAGGTTTATGGTTTGATTTATTTTTGTGTGCATTACTTAATAAATTCAGTGTAGTGAATATTTAATAGGTGTTTTATTACTGAGTGAAGGATACAAAAACAGTTCCCTGTTCTTTACAGCTTTAGAATTTAGTCATAATATAGTGATTTAAATATTTTGGATTTAGTATACTTGATTGTATGTTGTTGCTGTTACATTATTACTTTAAAGATATTACATACCCAGATAAAGCTCCAAGGGTGACAGTATCATTAGTGAATTGACAAAATTCTTTTTTTTTAAGTTTTCAGTACCAGAAATGTGATATTATCAGTAGATCTGGTGTTCACAGAATCCAAGTTTTAGTGACCTTTTAAACTGCCTGAATACTCAAGTCCCCTCTTGTTTTCTAAAATTAACTTGAAACTCAGGTTAATCATCAGAGTTGAATATTCCTCACAGTTTCAGAAATAGGCATTTGATGATTTAAAATGCTGTATTCCAGAAAAAACTTCTCTATCTCATAAATGATTTTGCCTTATAATGATTACTAATAACTGATCTACTTT